GGTTCAACTGCAGATCAGGGTTTCGAGGAGAACTCCTACGATGTTGTCCTCATCTCAGATATCGGGTTGCTGAACCTTTCTGTCCGCCTTCTCAAACCGGGCGAATTACTCGTGGCCACGCTGGACGAGAGCCAAGTTCATAGCCTCGGCAAAGCTGTGAAAAGTTTAGATATTGAACTTCGAATCCAGCTGGAGATCTATGATACCGCCCATGCGAGCAAGGTTATTGTGTTACGCCGGTCAAAACCCACGGTTGACACTGAGGCACCCGTCAACATCCAGATCTTGACTCACTCCTCACACCAGCATATTTCTGGCTGGGTCAATGCATTGCAAAACTATCTGAATAACCATCTCAATTGCATAATCAGCATTGATACTTTCAATATGGATTCTGTGTGTAGCCAAAACAGGAACGATACCAGTCTTATTATTGTAGCCGATGACCAACCTCAGTCACCGATCCTCTCCGATGCTTCTTGTTTCAAGGCTGTCACAAGCCTACTCAAACAGGAGCCAGCAAACATTCTTTGGGTCAGTCCGGATGAGCCTCTCCCAATGCACCAAGTTGTAGGCTTGTCTCGGACTGCCCACGCTGAGAATGATCGGCTTCGTCTCACCACAGTTCATGTTGCGCCCACAGTGCTAGGGGGCCTGGATAATAGTGAACAAGAAATGAGTGAGAAGCTTCTCACGTTTCTAAGCAGCGCCATAAGCTCTCTGAATTCCCAGACATTCCAGTTTGAGCGAGAATATCGGGTGGATGGAAATGGGACTGTTCTTATACCGCGCTTGCATCCTAGCCACGAGTTGAACCGCTCTATCCGGCAAGATCATGATCGAGGTTTCCATATCGAGTCGTGTCGTTTCATGGACAAGAAACGGCCCCCATTGGTCATTACAAGCAGCAATGGATTGGCAGGCGAGGCCATCTTCATCGAGGATGATAGACTCGTTGATCTACCTTTGGATGCTGCCGAGATAGAGATTAAGACTTATGCTACCTCTGTGTCTCAGCAAGAGACAACTGGGCGCAAAGCATTCTACGAGTATGCTGGAGTGGTCATCAAGGTTGGTTCTCTTGCCAAACCCTTCGCGGTAGGTGATTTGGTCGTCACCATAAGCCCAGCCATGGGCGCAAGCCGTGTGCGTGTTCCAGCAGGGAATGCCGGCTTGTTACCATCTACAGTCGGTTACAGCATGGGTGCCGGGCTTCTTGCGAGCACCATGACAGCCTGCCATGCCCTGGGCGAGCTCGCTTGCCTTCCGGCTGCTGGCACGCTATTGATACATGGCGCTCTGAGTACAGTTGGCCGGGCTGCCATAGCTGTTGCAATTTCCAGAGGTGCACACGTCATCGCTACAGCGCGTGATAACAGAGAAGCACGCCTGCTAGGAGATCAACTGGGTATAAGCGCAGACAACGTTCTAGTGACCAGGGCTTCATTATACCGACGGCGGCCCCAAGTTGTTTTCGGTAAGGGGGGAATCGATGTAATATTACAAGTCAGCCAAGATGCTGTTCCTGCAGAGGCAGTGCCATATCTTAAGCGCAATGGGCGGTTTGTTATAATAGGCGCCGTCTCTTCTGCCACTCTTCCCGGTGTAACTGCTCTCCCAGACGGGGCAAGAGTCTTATACTGCACAGCGGAGGACATTATTCAAAATCCAGGACCTAGTTTAGTTGCCCAGGCTGCAGATGTGCTCTCCCACGTGCCCCAAACCGGTTGGGACTGTTGGGTACGTGATGTGTCTTTGGCAGCCGACGCCCTCCAGCTTGTTCGCAACCGCACTACTAGCAAAGTCATTCTCCAGGCAGGGCCCGACTCATTTGTGCAGGCCGTGGTCCCAGATCCACCCAATAGGAGTCTGATTTGCCATGATGCTTCGTATGTTGTCGCTGGTGGTCTCGGCGACCTCGGGCAACGTCTCATGATACTATTGGCGCAGCGCGGTGCAAGGCACTTTGTGACGCTTTCAAGACGAGTTGCTAGCCCCATTGAAATAAGAGAGTTGCAAGCTCGGCTGGACCAAGTTGCGCTAGGGTGTTGCGTCTATTGCATTAGCTGTGACATAACATCAGATTCAAGCCTACAGGATGCAACCGACTCATTACGAAGAATGGGAACGCCCCCTGTGCACGGTGTGATACAGTCGGCCATGAGTCTAGTCGACCGGACATTAGATACGATGACATTCGACGATTTCAAGGCGGCGACGGGAGTCAAGGTCGACGGTACCTTGGCGCTTGAGCGTACGTTTGCCTCGCCGGACCTTGACTTCTTTCTGTTAATGTCATCTGCCGTCACTATCGTTGGCACCAGTGGGCAAGGCAATTACAATGCAGGCAACGCAGTCTTGGATGCCCTGGCCCATGTTCGTGACAAGGCCAGTTCCCGCTTTATGTCGATCAACATCGGTTTGATCGAGGATACCACTTCGCATGTGGCCAACTTGGAGGCATGGACGAGGAGTCTGGCTCGCGCCGGCCTGAAACCCGTTGGTCCTGATGAATTTACACGTTTCTTTGATCACATACTCAGCGTCGTCAGCACCAAAACCAGCAGCCTTGAATACAAACATATTCACCATGCCATGTTCGGTTTCGACGGCGAAAGTCTGCTGGGCACAACTTCTCGAAATGCCACTTGCCACTCTGCCTTGTTCACACACGTCTTTGATGCAAAGTTGGCTTCCACATCGACCACAAACATATCTGACGGCGGCACTGCCCCGCGGACGCTGGCAGAGGTTCTCGAATCTGGCGAATCGGCGCCAGACTTCATCTCACATGCCATAGCAGATCGGTTAGCACGGCTCATCTCTGCCGATAGCGCCAGCATCAACCAAGAGAGCCGCTCCATCTTGGAACTGGGGCTCGATTCTCTGGTCGCGATTGAGCTGCGCAACTGGATCATGTCTCAATTCGAGGCACCCCTCCAATCGTCGGAGATTCTTACCAACCAGACCATACATGCTCTTGCTGAGAAGGTGCTCGCGCGTTCCAGTATTGCGACCTTAACGTCGTCTGATGAGAGCGACTTAGTCGCGGAGACGCCGGATTCGACACAAGGGTCTGATGGACCTACGCACCCGCCTCTTCCCATTCCGTCGCTCAGTGATACCCTAAATAGGTTTAAGGAATCGCGTCGTGCTGTCGCTTCAGACACTGAGCAGCACATAACTGCCACTGCGGCGCAGGCGTTTGAAGATGGGGTTGGCCTCGAATTGCAGAAGCGTATCGAGGACGCTGGCCCTGATGCCATTAGCGACGCGTTTGATCAGCTCATCTACCTTGAATGGCGTGAGCCACTTATGGAGCAGGGCCAGTTCTATTTTGTTCATTCATTCGAAGCCCCTGTGCATTCCCAACTGGCTCGCGCAGCCACTCTAACGATGGCTACCATGCAGTTTGAACGTCTTCTTGCTGCTGGGCAAATCGCTCCGCACAGTTTGCATGGCGTACCTGTATCCAGCAAAGGACAAGAGTGGCTCTTTGCAACAACTCGGTGTCCCGGTCTTGTGGCGGACCAGATGATACGCTATCCTCCAAACTCGACAGTAGCTGTTCTCCGTCGCGGCCACGTATTTCTACTAGAGCTCCCCAACCGTGACACGGAAATGGAGTTGTCGAGGATATATGCTGCCTATCAAGAAATTATAACAGCCTCTGAAAAGCCCGCAGTCCCTGTCTGTACTCTAACTGCGAATGATCGGGTTACTTGGACTAAGGTAAGTTGAGCATTATCAACTCCACCATTGTTTTGTAGCACTGACGTTCCATCTCTCTCTATCAAGGCTCGTGACAAACTTCAATCAAATGTCGACAATGCCTCAGCGCTGGCGTCCATCGAGTCTGCCGCATTCGTCGTGTGTCTTGATGATGAAGAGCCCACGACAGCGGGGGAACGCCATATGCAATTTCTCCTCAACGGCACCACCCATCATATGGAAAATCGATGGACTGACAAGCCCTTCCAGCTCGCGGTGACTGCCAATGGTATATCAGCGGGCATCTACGATCATTCAAAGGTTGACGGCTTAGATGGACGAGCCATGCACCGACATCTCACTCGATCTCTGTTTGGCTTTCCTAGCTCCGAGGTAGAGAGTCTCGCAGTCAATGCGAGCTCATACCCTGTGCGCGAGGTTACTTGGAACTTGACGTCAGATACAATGTATGACATTGAGCGGGCTCAGCAGCGCTGCAAGACCAGCTACCACGCCCTCGACTACCTGACCTTCCAGGCCAGCAACCTCAACCCTACCCAACTGCGCAATCACCGTGTGTCCCCGAACGCTACAGCTTATCTCACAACTGCACTTGCCACATACCTTGTCGATGGTCGGGTCCGGCCGTCCTGGGAGGTGGTATCGCAGGCTCAGTATGCTCGCGGACGCATCGAGTGGGTGCAGACCGTCACACCCGCCGTGCGCAATTTCATCGAGGCTGCCGCAGCCAGCCGCGCAACACGAGACATGTTCAATGCGGCCGCCTCCTCCTATTCACGCGCCATCTCCACGGCTGCTGCGGGACAGGGCTTTGTGAACCATCTATACGCGCTGCGCATGGCACTGAAGCCAGGAGAAGAGGTGCCCAAGATATTTGGCACGCATGCTTGGCAGGCAACGCGCCGTGGGGGGCTGGAGCAGGGTCTCAAGACTGGGTTCATGCCCGAGGACGACGATGAAGAAGAGGAGCGGTTGTACGGGTGGAACTGGGACGCGGGCTCGTTCTTGGTGACGGGAGAGGGGAACGCCTATATCCACTGTGATGTTCTGAAAGACACCATCAGCTTCAACATTTCGGGTCATGCTGAGTATACGGCGACTGTTCACGAAGCGTTCCAGCAGGCTTCTGAGACGGTGTCCTCTATTCTAAGGTAAAATTACCTAGGTAGAGCATATTACTCTACGACTCTATATATTAGACCCTAACCATAGCAGAATTTATCTAAGCGTGTATACAGGTGCTTATATCAGTCCTGGGCTCCATGACGCTAGCTTATGCTTTCAACCCATGCAAGCCAATCCTTATCCTGATCAAGGGCTAAAAGTTGGCAGAGTATAGCAGGTGACTTGTCAGGCGTATAAAGAAGTTTCTTACGCAACTTACTACATAGGGAAAGGAGTATGCCCAGTCTGGGGTCGCTACGAACAGACCCTTTGCCCAATGTTGATCTTCCTGATGACATGGCAGCCAACAGGTCGAATGCTATCTCCTCGTCGACTTCGGTCAACTCCATCCATGGCTCTGCATAAAGAGCCCAGAGTGATGCAAGGCTGTCTTGTGCTGATTTTATCAACGGCGCAGCCTCTTTTTCTCGTTGCAGGTCAGTAAGGATAATTCCTAATCTGTACTTTGCACGAGCTTTTGTCTCTCTGGTCCAGCCATTAGGTTGTGAAATGGTCATCTTGAGGATTGATCTATATTTAATCATGTTAGTAGTTGTTGGAAACGAAAAGCCCAAGGCATATCTCTGATCCACGCCGCTGTAGAGGCATTGAACTTACGCAGCAGGCTCCATGTTGCCCCTCTTATGTTCTATAGTTGCAAGAATATATGCTGCGTCGGAAGTAGGCCTGCTCGATTTTCCAAAAGTCTCTACCCTTCTTGAATGCACGTTTCTGGCTTCTTCAAAGGCTTCTTCATATCTCCCGGCAGAAACCAGAATACACGCCAGGTAAAAGTGCACTTCTTGAGAAAGGGCACATTTTTGGTCAAAGGCCTTGTCGACCTTCTCAACCGTTGCTGTAGCGAGCGCGATAGCCTCATCGTACCTTCCCATTCCTGCCAGGGCCACAGCAACATTCATTGGGGAGTTGGGGATATGGTTGTACTCTCTCTGGCAGAGGACAGATGACTTCCTCTGATCCCATGCAAGATAGAGTGGCTCCAGAGATTCCTGGTAAGACCCAGCATCGAGAAGGGTCCAGCCAACGTCATTCCACGCATTACCCCAACAAGTGACATCTTCATCCGTGACTGACTCTGACCCTTGTGTGTGCAAATGGTGCTGCCGCATATGCAAAGCTTTCTTTGCCAAATCTTGGGCCTTGCGGCGCGAGGAAATTCCATGGACGAGCCGGACTGCGGATGATATCGCGTACGTATTTGCTTTTTTGGATGACAAGTGGTTCCCAAGCTTGTCGCAGATCGCAACAGCTATGTCGCTCGTATGAGAACCGTCTCCGTAAAGGCCCGCCTCCCAAAAATACCCGCTGGCAGCAGTGACCATTTCAGCAAAATCAATTCCAATGGCTGTTAAGCACGCTTGGTATGATTCAAATACAGTGCAGAGGCTAAGGATATGAGGTGTGATGAGCGATCTTGTCTGCCATAGATCATTCTGCGGCGCCTGTACCGGAGATTGCTTCGGAAACACTCTGAGCAGGAGTTTAAAGGCTGCATCAAAGGCTTTTCCAAAAGCGTCTGGTCTCGCTTTCAACCGCTCAAGTATGTTCTTTTGAACTACTCTGTGCATAAGGAGGTATGCCCCTCCGTCCGAGCTTTGCCGCTCCACGAGGTGTCGGCTCCCTAGATTTGAGAGAATAGAGTGATACCTTCACGTATTAGCTGACACTGTCCACGTAATTCGGAATTGGCGGGGATTGCGTACTGCCCTCTAGAGGTAGCACCGAATATTGAAAGGTCTGGGTCTTGTTGGCCGGCGAAGATGATGGCTTCTGACACGCCAGTGGAGCCAAGCATGGCCAACACATGCAGCAATAAGATGGATGATGGGGCGAGCTGGTTCTCGGCTATATCCCATGTTTTTCCGAATGGTTTGCCGTAGTGCACTAGAACAGTTGAACTGTCTGGGGCGACGGCAGCAGTAAACAAGCCGTACTGCTTCAGGTCGTCAAGAATTGCGTCTAGAGGCATGGTCGAAAAGTTGCCCGCAATAAAAATGATCGCTAATGGAATACCGCTCAGTTCAGCCGATATCATTTGGGCTAGTTTTTGGTTCTCATCATCAGCTGAATGGAGGACATTCGAGCCCTGATTTGATGGCGACAGCATGTATGACTGCGCTATTGCCATTTGTTTTAAGAAGAAGCGAGGCCCGGAGACTTCATCCAGAGGTCGTACCAAAACAGTTGAGCAACATGCCTGAGCTAGTTCTGACTTTTGGGAAGTAAGCAGAACATGTCCAAGGCCAGCCTGAGACCAAACCGGAGATACGACTCTATGATCTTCGACATTATCGAGGATAAGGAGCCAGCTTGTAGCTATCACCGATTAGTAAGCTTTTCAAGAAGAATGGGTAGGACAATACCAACTTAGACCTTCAAGCCAGTAGCGGAACCTTTCGACCTCATGTTGAGGTTCCTTGTTAATAGTCTCTGGCGAAGTTAAGCCTAGCTTTAGGGATATTTTTCCTATAGCGTTGGTAATGTCAAGATTTGTTTCCGCCGGTATCCAGAAGACATAGTTATATTCGTCTCGGTACCGGTAAGCGTACTCTAATGCGATTGCGGTCTTACCTATGCCACCAAGACCTTGCAGGAGACAAGCTCTTTGTTCTTTGACGCCATTTGATCCAGAGACATTGAGAGAGTCCCGGACACGTAACAACTCATCTTCTCTCTCGGAGAAGTGGGGATTCCGAATCAGTGGAACCTCGAATAGTTTGGACGGGTCAGATGGCAAGATCTTCACTGTTGGGAGTATCTCTGTTATTTTCTTCGAGCTGTCGATTAAAGTGAGGTCAACCTCGAGCTGGCGAACTCGCTGAAACTGAGTATAGTGCTTGCTTATATTTGACTTGGTTGCCTCAAACTTCTTGTCAATGTTTGACCAAAAGAGCCTCAATAAGTTATCTGTGGTGTGAAGCCGGAATTAGTTTGAGTCCCGTCCTGGCTGAGACAACACATACATATGGGCCATTTATTGAAAAACGATAGTGCACTGATCGAGAACCCGACGAAATCGTCTATAAGAAAGCGGGTACATTGCTGCATTTCTTCTGATTCTGGGAAGATGTCGAGATAGCGATTTAGCTGCACGACCATCGACGCGAGTTCGTAGAGCATGTCCGTGATCAGGGCCAAAAGATTTGTAAATCGGCTCGCTACCTGAAGTATTGTTTGGTTTCAGCTACTATCCACCCTCGGTGTGTAAAAAAAAAAATAGAAGAAAAAGAAAATTGTACCGTTATAACAGCCTGTATCGATCCCCAGATAAAACCGGTGAGCTCTGGAGACGATTGCACGATCGAAGTGATGGCCTTGGTGAAAGTGTTCAACTGGTCAAGTACGCGCTGTAGCTTATGGATACTAGTCAAGGCAGATGACTTGCTATATGCCTCGCTAGCCTTGTTGACCCTGATATTAAAGTCATCGTATGTTAAGGAACAAACTTGGCGTCGTTTCTTTCCCAGGCGTGACAGCTGTTTCTCCAGAGAGAGTTCCCATTCCTTGTTGAAATTGAAGGTGGATGACATAATAATGTAAAATTCTAGTGACTACTGGGAGTCGCCTGGTCACAAGGCGTAGACTGGGACTGGGACGATAGTGATCAATACAAGATCAAAAGTCGTGTGGACTCAACATAGCTTCATTATAATATTTAGAAGACAGTCCTGTTACTCTTATAGATCAGCTTATAGCTGGCTCTTCACTTCCTGAAATACTTTCCTTGGGCTGACGCCAAGGTGAGGCTGATATAGCCCTACCTCGTAATTGGTTCTCAATGACTCTTAGATAGATCACAAGGTCAACACCTATGTCAACGGCCCTTTCCTCTTAACGGCTCGTTGTTCTACGCTAAAATTAGTAAAATTACTCGTTATAAAAACTTCCTATCAAGGAAGATATAATATTTAGTAATAATTATCTTTCTTTTATATAAATTTTAAAATAAAGAAAAACTTATATATTTAAGAAATAAATTAATATTAATAATAAATTAATTATTAAAAATTTAAGTAATATTTTTTAATTAATATATAATATTTATAATATTATAATATATTTACTTTAGTATTTTTATTATATTATATAGTTTATTTTGGAAATCTAGTTATATTCCTAAAGGTTGTTACTGTCTTATAACACCTAGTAGATAAGATAACCCGCTAAACCAATACTTGTTAATTGAATAAGTAGAGCGTAATTCTTTAATCCAACATTTTAGGCTCCGATATTTTAGGCAGCTACACTAGTCGGCAAGCGCGACCGGCCGCCTTATCTCCCCATAAACAATCCACTTTTCCCCATAATCAATCGCGTAACGCCACCCATGCCTCTTTGCGAGCCATCATCATCATCATGAAGGCCTCAACAGCAATCTTCGCCGGCTTGTCTGCCCAGATATCTGAGATCAGCCGTTTTTCGGGCATTCCCGGCGTCTCCTGGGGCGTTATTGACAATGGCAGCATCATCCATCAGGCCTCTCACGGTTTCTGCGATGTGGAGAACAAGATTCCCTGCAACGCCAACAGCACATTTGTGCTTGGCTCGTTGTCAAAGGCCTTCACCTCAGCTTTGCTTTCTCAGCTGGTCGAGGATGGAAAACTACAATGGAACGACCCTGTGCGCGAGATTCTGGTGGATTTTCAGAGGACCGCGTCAGATTTGAGTGCCCACGCCACCGTCGCCGACCTCCTATCGCATCGTACTGGCTTGTCGTCATCAGACTCGCTCTGGGCAGGCTCGGACAATGTACCACTATTGAACCACTCGGACTCTGTCAAGATTCTCAGCTACCTACCCCAGCAGCAAGCTTTCCGCGCATCATTTGTATACAACAACTGGGCCTACGACGTCCTCGGACACATCATAGAAAAAGTGTCAGGCTCATCATATTCCTCGTTTCTGCACGACCGGCTGCTTGGACCCCTGAATATGAGTAGTACCTATTTCACAGAAGGTTCTGCCCAGGCGGAAAATGAAGCCAAGGCTTACGCCGCTTTGTCAGACGCTTCACCTGTTCGAATTGGACCAGCTATTGAAGGAGACCGGGTTTTGATGGGCCCGGCGGGCGGAGTTCGAAGCAGTGTATCCGATCTTTTGGTCTTTTACGATGCCTTGATGGACGCTGCAACAGACCAGACGGAATTAGGCTTACAACTCAATTCGACACCCAGGGACCGGCCATTTGCACTATCTCAGCTGTCAGAAATGTGGACTGGCTGGAACATTCTACCAATGCCTCTTCTCCGAGAGCATTCATATGGTTTTGGTTGGCTGAGAGCTCAGCTGCCATCCGTGATGGCACCATCTCGAGGAATACCCGAGTTTAGTCCCTTGGTAGGTGTGGGCGTTCCCTCACTACTTGCCATTTGGCACAGTGGCAGCATTCCTGGGTACCGAACCCATGCCACGCTATTTCCTGAGACCAGACAGGCGATTGTAGTGTTGACAAACTCGGCACCGCTGAATGACGGGACGAGACTTATCAGCGACTTGCTCATAGAAGCCCTACTGGGCAACCTCGACAATGCCGCCGATTATGTTCGGATAGCTAGGATAACGGCGGCTATGGGGGCTACCAGGACGGAGGGCATTCACAAGCAGCTCCTGGATGGACGAACGAGAACAGATCCGTCCAAGCCTCTCGACACATATATCGGCAGATACTTCAACGCCGTCCAAGTGTTCTTCATCGACATCTTTCTTCGTGATAACCACCTTTACCTGTCATTTATGGGAAGAGAAAAGGACACCTTCGAGCTGGCTCCTTATGGAGACGACAGCTTTTTCTGGTTTCTCACTCATGATGAAGCCGCCAGACTAGCTCGTGACTCTGGATACGGGCCCGAATTCTACATCCTCAAATTCGGAGCTACAGACGTAGATTCCAACTCTATTGACACCTTATGGTGGAAACATGAGCCATCTCTGAGTGGCTTCGGCGAAGTCTTTCGCCGGGATTTAGATGATCAAAAGACGGTGACTTATGAGGATAACTCAGAGCTCTGATGGATATCATAATCATATTGATAACGACAGCTCATGTATTTTCCTCGTGTCTGGTTAAAGGATGTCATTAAAAACCTGCAATAATCTACTATATTTGTATGTATAGTGGAGTAGGAGAACCTTGATCGATTTAATACATTAAGAGCTATTGTCCTGAGGGGTTATCTGTTGATGCCGGCTTCTTCCACCGATTATCTTAGGACTGCGTCACTCGTAGCACCAAAGCTTTACTGTAATACATTTACTTTATTTGGTGAGATCGCCTTACACTGCGGGGAAGTATGAGTCTACTAGATATAGTGGATCGGAAATGCTGACAAGCTTGCCCTGTGGCTCATCAGGTCTCCATTGGGATTCACGAATTATGACTCTCTCCATACGATTGGAGATGTAACCACATGCAGAGCCACGTCGTACAACATCGGTTGAGGGATTTATGCCTGCTGACACCAATGCCACTTAGCACACAACGGTGATTCGATGCGTGAATCCTGATGGTTGCAGTATGACGTGATCTCTGATCGTGGCCAGGGCTCGCTTAACGGTATATGCATGACTGTAAATGGCCTGATCGAATCAGAGCATCGGTTCGGTAAATGGATTGCGGAAGTCTAGGCAGCTGAGTGTAACCAGACATCACATGCATTCAGCTTCATCTTACATTTTCTCGGCTAATACCCCAAAAAACCGCTTACGATTAGTACTTTAAGCTTAAGCCTGTCCAAGATGCGGTTGATTCAGTTTTCAAGCAGTAACCCCATTTTTATATCCTAGCCTACCTGCAACAAAGACGCTCCGTACGTGCCACTCCATAATGTTCTTTCTAATGAGAAACTACTCACTCACTATATGTGAACCAGATGTCTCGCCCAGTAGATAAGCCTAATCAAACGGAGCTGGAGCCGGTTGGGGAAAGAGAACAGCCTTGGAGAAAGTTTTTCTCCGTGCATGAGAATGAACCTGTGTCTGAGAACGAAAAGCGTGTTGATGAGGTGGTGATCGGGGCTTGCCTAAGCGCAAATAAATGCCCGATTTGCGGGCGAGATCCCTGTGTATGCGGTCCGACCTTTATTGCATCCTAAATCCAGTTTCGCGGGGGATATACATATGCGTTACATTGCTAATTTCGATACACTGAAATGGATGCTATATAAGCCCAGGAGCTATCTAGTGTGAACATCTACTAGATTGATGAGGTGAACTAAGCTCGAGGACAACGTCTCGCGTTAAATAGACGTATACTGTCTTACCTAGGCGAGTAAAGGTGCATGCTGGCTGGTTTAAGACTGGCCGGTTAAGACAAATAAAATGACATACAGGAGGCCGGTCATATGGCCAGTCAGTGGGTCCATGTACTCATTTGTATATATAATATCAACATCCACTCTCAAACAGACCAGTCTTGCGCTAACTAACCTGCATTTCCTACCGACGGACGAGCGTCTAAGCCAACGCTCTACTTGAACACCGAATTCGCTCATATCCAAATCTCGACTGTATTCTGGCTTCTGCATTTGAATCCTCCCACTTGCAACGTCATATTTCAGCAAATGGCGACGACGGCACATAACAATGCTGAAGATGAGATTTCTCAGCTAAACTACATCCAGGATTCAGAGCTCTTTTTACAACAGAAGCCGTATGAGATCCTATCCGAAGCCCCCCCGGGTACCCAGAAGTGCAATTTCCAGCTTGGACAGGGCCCCCCTGAAATTATTCAGGACATTCGGGGGTTGGAGTCGCAATTCGATCTTGATAATCATGGATTCCAGGTAGTGCGACACATGCTAAAAACAAAGGTCTTCGATGAAGACACCATCAAGAGCGAGTATATCCCTGAAATTGATATGCTTCTCAAAAGCATCGAACCAGATATCAGTGTGCACGTCTTCGATTGGAGGGTACTCTCCCTATTCCCAAAGGAACATAAGATTTTTTAGCTAATGTGAAAAAGCTTCGCTCGAGCAGTGTCCCAGATCCCAAACTTCGCTCGATAGTAGACTTGAACGATCCTATGTTGGTTTTGAAACCGGTGCAGGCCGTGCATGTAGGTGAGCAGAACAAGGAATATCCACCCATTCAACTCCAGCTCATTATTTATCCATAGACCAGAGTCCATACGCAGCAATGAAGCACGCAAGATCCATTCTCGGCGATGACCCGGATGCAATTATGAATAAGCGAATCCGCATCATAAAGTTAGCTTTGTTCCCCTCAGTGGTCTTCAACGAGTAACTAATTCGTGCGCTTGGAGTATATGGCGGCCAATCCGAGACACAGTTGAGAATTGGCCTCTAGCAGTATGTGATGGCAGTACTGTCCCTCGAAAGAACCTCCTCGAGGTGGATCATGTCCGAAAGTATTACGTGGGCGAGTCGCTATATCCAATCCATAGCGGGGGGTATAAGTGGCATTATCTCAACCATCAAACACGAGACGAAGTGATTCTTTTCAAGATTTTTGACTCAAAGCCGAATGTCCCGGCAGCCTGTAAGTCTCCCTATGATAAATAACGCGGCTTGTGCTTGGCTGAGAACTAGTTTTAAGGTTGCCCTCATACATCGTTTAATAAAAGCAAGGCCTTAATATCAGCGAACACGAGAGAGAGTATTGAGTTAAGGGCTGTAGTTATATCTGACCTTTAAGTATAGGATAAATTAGTGCGGTATTATAAGTACTTATTCAGTATCTTTCTTTTTAGTCATATATTCCTCTTATTTGTTTTCGTTTACTATGAATAAGGGATCTTTTACTGCGGTTGCATTTGAAATTTTAGGCTTCGCATGGGTATAATATTCTAATATAGTTCTAAACCGGTCCTACCCCATCTCTAAGCTCTATTAATATAGGTTACAGTTCTAACTGGAACATTAAATAAAGACCTTTCAAGATATTATTAGTACAATATCAATATCCAATTAATCGAGATATATTTTATTATCTTAAGAAAGGTTATAGTGCAATAAGAATTGTTACAACCTGCGAGCAACCAGCATAGAGTTCTACCTTCCTACAACCTTTCTACACCATCTGGTCCCTATCAAAGTATCTTGAGGTCTCTACCAGTTCGACATCGGATTCGTTCGTAGAGGCTTGCGGACGACGGACGAGACCGCTCCAGTAACCGTCCAACTCCCGCTCGCTGTCCTTCCTACTGCTACTGGGGTTCGATGGCTTTCGATCTCTGCTTCTATTGAGAGACCTCTCGTTGGAGGAACCGAGGAGCGATCGCCTGCTCCACGTCGATGAAATTTGCGCTATGCGTTGCCAGAAGACGGGACTTGGCATAATAGTTGGGTACATAGGTACGCAGGCGCACAAAATACTCGTCGCCATCTGTAAGATGTCCCAGAATGCGTTTACGTGGTTTTCCTCTGCAAGCGCGAAGAGTCAGCTGAGATCCGCAAGTGCGGCATTGCATTCGCAACAAAATACGAGTGCAACGGAAGAAGGAGGCAGCTACTTACGTCCATTGTCATTCGGTGTAGTGTAAGCGAAGCCGATCTTGATAAAGCCAATAATACCGGAGAGGCCGCCTACTATGAAAATAAAGGTCAACTTCCTCTTGATGAGCTTGCGCGTCTGCAGCTTAAAGACCATGGCGACGGCGAGCCCGACCATGGCGAGATCGACGCCAGAATTGATGGTCTCCTCAGCGACGAGGAAGGTATTGCCATCGATGCATGTGCCAGGCTGCGTGCCGGTTATATCCCACCACTTGGAGACGGGATTGCACAGAAACAGCACCATAAAGAAGAAGGTGATGAACCAAGCGATATGGATAGCCGCGAGCCCGTAGATCCATCTCCGAAAGACGAGATCGCTCCAGAATATCCGCTTGTACAGCATAAACAGGCTCGCTTTGGCGAATAGCTGGTTGATGTAGAAGAAGGGGGTTGCGACGTACGACAACTAGCGTTGAAATATCATTGTGAGCGAGGCAATCAGGGTGAGAACCTGTGATGACGGGTCTATCCATGTAATTACCTTGGCAGTGAGCAAGTTGGCTTCCTCATCCGAAAGATCGGCAGCTCCAGGGATAGCGCCCACGGGCGTGACGGTATAGCCCAAGTGACCGACAAGGGCGAGCACGGCGAAAAGATCTTCCCAAGAGAGCTTACGACCCGCGCGCTTAGTCGAAATGAGACGGAGTACTGTCGCGATAATCGTTAGAGGGATGGTGACGAGCGAGATAATGACAATGCGCCCTATGCCGGGATCGGCGATGATGTCGGCGAACGATTGCCCTTCAGACCCCATGGTCCTGCTGTGTTCAATTCGATACCAGACTTTGATTTGCGATCTTTTGCCTTGGGGCAGAAGGTAGAGGGGAGGAAGTTAGAGTCATCTTGCGGTTGAGGCGTGGGATTCTTGGAAGTAGGGAATGGAAGAGGGCGTTGGGAGCCAACCAACCACCCTACTACACGCATCAAAGCGCCGTAAGCCTGCAGATGAGACACAAATATGGCTATACATAGCACTGAGCAAGGTAGGATGAGCTGGTTGGCTGTTGAGACAAATCGCGTGCGGAGCTCCGTAGTACACATGACCAAGTTAGGTGACTGAGCTCCGGTATGTACGGCGAAGAATGCCCCAAATGGGTAAAATAACGCCGGTAGTATCGCGCTCGGCCGCTCAGCGTTGCTGCCTGTAGCTGCGCAGAAGGTGGTTTCTACGAAACTATCTTTACGATAATTACAAGACAGGGAGGGGGAAAGGATGGTGAAGCCTTCTTATCCACACCAGTTGCTGCCTTCAACTATTGCCGGTACTGGGGCTACGAAACGGATGCAGCATCACATAGGAGTTGAAGGCTTTGATCTCCTTACGTTATGCATATAACTCACCAAACTGCATTTTTTTCGACGTGTAGTATCCATTACATTATCGCATCCCTTTTACGATCAATTGATATACTTATCAACTAGAATAGTGAAATCGCGCCAACAAACAGTCTACTCAGTCTGTCCTCATCTTTTCCTACGCTTACTCCTTCTGCCGCGTCACGAGTTTCATACGTATCAAGAAGTCTGGGCGTTCCCAGAAAGTCATGAATTTGAAATCTTTGTCAAAAGAAATGTCCTGGTGAGTGGTCTCGATATCAAATTGCCACAAGACCCTTGCCAGGAACAGACGGATAATCGCCGTAGCTATTGGGCCACCGGGGCAGCCTCGTAAGCCTTGACTGAAAGGTTTCGAAGCTTTCAAGTCGTCCTTTGCAAAGGCTAGGTCAAATCTCGGATCATCATGTGGCAACCAACGTTCTGGGCGAAATTGGAGCGGCTCGTGGAAGAACCGGGGGCTCCTCGTCGCGGCAAAGTAGCTCACTTGGCAGATGACCTAGGCAATCGTGTGAGAAAAAATCAGTATTGATTCCCATGTAGATTAGTCTCTGATGGGTTGGAAGTAACGTACCCCTTGGGGGATGTAATGTCCATCAACGATGGCACCAGGACTGATTCGTGGTAAGCCATCGGTGGTCTCGGCATGTAAACGAAGACCTTCAGAGACACACGCTTGCAAGTATTTCAGGTTCTCACCTGCGACGCTTCCAAGAGTGATTTCCCCACTGTCATCATAGGCTATCCTCACTTCTGAGACCGCGTTTGCGTACACATCGGGGTCCTTTAGCAGAAATAGAAGAATGATGTAGAACTGATTGGCCAATGGTTGCCAACTCGCCAGAAGAAGCTGCCCTGCTACGTTTTGAACGTGGAATAGTTCCTTCTTCCCCGGTACAGGGTGATCAATGGGGAGCATTTGCTCCACGTAGTCCAATTGCTCCGTATTCCCTCGGCGGTCAATCCTCTGCTGGAAATCTTTGGCAGCCTTCTTCAGCAAAGTCGGGATAGAAGGCCACGTGGAGGGAGGAATGGCGAGATAGACGAAGGGGGTGAGGATCACACGCACGGCCAAGTTAAACTTTCTCGATATCTGACTCAGAGTAAGGAAGCGGTTGAGCCTCAGTGTAAACTTGAGGAAGTCTGAGTCCTTCACTGTAGGGTTACTTCAGCATTAGCCATGATCACTTGACCTCATGCGCGTGTACTTACTGTCTCGCACATGACCCTCGTCCTGACTATACGTCATGTCCGCAGAAAGATCAAGTGCCAGCCAGTCAGACCATTGTCGGAATTCAATGTTACTCCCCTGTAACTGCTCCATCTTTTGGATGAACTGGTCCATGTGCTTCTGAATCGTGGGTTCCTTGGCGATTAGATTCCTATTGCTGAAAGCTGGGGCCAGCCTTTTGGCAATCTCGCGATGTCTGGCAGGATTTGGTTCGCCTGTAATGCCGTTATCCCCTGTATCGAGAGCATCATAGCCGACCTGGACAAACGACTCAAGGTGGTTTTGTTGGGCCAAATAAATGTCTGCTTGCAGTTAGGGTAGATGGACCATGTATTTCGAAGCATACAGGTCTGACCTTTGGCTGCCTGCGGCGTGATGAAGACGAGTTCATTGGGCGCAATCCGAATGACGTCGCCTGAGATATAATTAGGGTCATATTGTTTGATGTAGAAGATGGACAAGGCAAAATACTTGCCGTATCGCTTAAGATTATCCTCGATCACCCATGGGTACCGGCCACTAATACTGCGAGGTGCTGTTAGCAGATGCAGTGGAATGCGACTAACAGGCCTTACCTATGAAATGCCCACCAGACATTAGATACAGCAGCGATCTTTGGGCCCGGGAACTTGGCAAGCGGGTGAAATTTCAAATCATAGATGGCCTGGGCGATGACCCCGACAATGACGAGGAGGAGAAGCTGACGGACAGGCAGGAAATCCAGCACATCGCGGACTTGACCCCACTGAAGCATGGCGGCAGTTCTAGCGGGCAGGGAGGTATCTTGGAGGCAGAATGCAAATGGGAGATGACGATGAAGACTGTCGCAGAGCTCGCGATCAATCCTGCCCATGCCACGATAAGGCTGAGTGAGGGGCGACCTGTCGCATGATGCCCAAGAGTGAAGCGATAACCGGCCGGTAAAATTCCGAGTATTAGTCACAAACATCGGTCACGGGCCAGAACATCCCTAATCACATGTAAGTGCATAACGGCGTCAATGAATTTATGTAAGATATCCAGTGCACGGATAATGTACAATCAATTCACCAGGTCAATTCATAACGCTATCAGTATAGGTGGGTACCTCCCTCTCATAGATCAGTACCTATAGCTGGCCCTTACCCTATACAGATGTACCGGATTGAAGGCTTGCGATGAGTGAACCCATTACATCTTGATGACAAGTGTACAAAGACTCGCAGTGTAGCAGTATGAACCGATCGTGGCCTTGATTGTCGATTGGCTCGAATCGATTGCAACGGACTTAATACACCCAACAGCGCCGAGTCCGATGTGTGTCCGACGCCGTGTCAAAGGTTTGAAGTGAGACTGTCTATTTTAGGCAATCTCTCGCCGAGGCCCGAAAACACTCCGTGATGATAACACAACGAATCGTCTGGTGGGATCGCTCTGGTTTGGTCAGACATTTAATCGTCTGAACATTTGCTGTATTAGTGCTAGCACGATCAAATGCTTCATAGTCACATCGCTCTTCAGTCCAGAATCGCATAATCGACTTTCACATCTACCTACTTCATGGTTCAGTGACGGCTGCGACTACTCCCAATCCGCTACATTATGCTTTGGCTATCCCAATCGGAGACGCTGACCGTGGCGTCGTCGTTTATTCGAGGCACAAAACTATGGCAGTGGCTCCTCTTGGCCGGGGGCATTGTATGTATCTTTGTGGTTCTTAGCCGGCATGGACACTTACGAAATACTTGTAGTTTCTGATTTGGACCACCCTCGTTGCCATATATGATGTTTTCTTTCACCCTCTGGCCAAATATCCTGGACCAAGGCTGGCGCGCATAACAGATACATGGGCGGCGTATTATTAGTAAGTCGACGACTCACAAAAGTTCGATGAGCGTGGACATCTCTAAATGTTCGTTAGCTCCTCAGGGAAATGGCCATGGGTCGTCGAACGGACCATAAAGAGATACGGTACGGTGGATTCAATCGTGTTCTGGTTTGCTTCTCACGGCTTTCGATTTAGACGCTGACCGTGCATAGGTGACATTGTTCGGATTGGGCCAAACTCACTGGTTTTCCTGGAGCCTCAAGCGGCAATTGGTAACTTCGAAGGAGCCCAGCTTGAGCTATACTATGGCTGATCCCCCAAGTAGATGTCCATTGTGCGAAAAGAGACCTGAAAGATACCTTCATCAAGACACCGCTGATGGACGGCCTTGGCGACGAGGATGACGGACTGCTCTGGGAGAGGAATCCCGAAAAACACCGTGCCGTCTCCAAGATGATGTCTCCTGCTTTCAGTGGCAACTCTTTGAGGGCAAAATTACCTACCTTGAACAAACACATTGACTTGATGATATCGCAAATGAGGGCACACGGCCAAGAAGAAGCAGGACTCGATGTCAGTCAGGTACGGTTCTCACGACGCTGGTCACAAGATACGGGGTTCATGAGATCTGACGGACTAACAGTGGTTTACGTGGCTGGCCATGGACTCTGCCGTGGACCTTGCCTGTGGATGGGAGCTGCATGAGCTTCGAGACAGTTGGTCCCGCCCCATTACGTCGCATCCTGCCCCCCCCATTCTGACAAGATGATATAGTGAAGAGTCATGCCTTTCTCGAGGGTATGGATGCAGGCTGCATGCTGGCCATTGTCCTATCCACAACGAAGATCGCCCCAATTCTAACACCGGTCGTGATGCTGCTCACACCCTGGCGACTTATGCGTGTGTTTCCGCAAATGATCTCGAGCCTGAGGGCCATGGTAACCGATCGCATCGAGAGGCGAAACAATCTCAAGCACCCAGATTTCTGCGAACAGCTTCTACCGCCGACGAAAGAGTCAGAGATGAAGGGCGCGCAGATGCGACACATCGGGACCGTCATAGGGCAGCTGATCATTGGAGGCTATGACACCACGTCCGTGACAACGTACATGATGTTCTACTTCAGTCTGCGTCACCCTGAGGTGTTGGAAGAGCTGAAGCGCGAAATCCGAAGCAACTTTTCCCGCTACGAGGACCTCACTGCTGATAATCTCCGGGGCTTGCCTTGGCTCAATGCTTGCATGCAGGAGACTCTGCGAGTCGTCACAGTAGCTACGCATCATTCACTGCCGCGAATCAGTCCGGGAGCCATGGTGAACGGTACATATGTTCCCAAGGGAGTAAGTAAGCAAGCCCGTGTGTATATTGGCACAAATTGACATGTGGATAAAGGTCATAGTCCGTACTTCATTGTTCACTTATAACCGTAGTGATCGCTTCTTCCATGACCCAGCAAGCTTCAGACCCGAGCGCTGGCTGTCGCCCAACCACCCAAAGTACGACTCCGTGTTTGCTAGCGACGATCACCGAGGCTACATGCCCTTCATTATGGGCCCTAGGCAGTGTCCGGGACGAGAGCTTGCCAAGATAACGTTCCGCCTCGTAGTTTCCAAGCTCCTATGGTCTTTTGACGTGGAGCAGGTATCCAAACAGCTGGAGTTTGACAAGGACTTTCGTGTTTACAGCATCTGGATGAAGCCTGAGCTCCGAATGCGTTTCTTGCCCGTCAAGAGGGATTCACAACATGGGGCAGAGTGATTGGGTGATCCGCCAATCCTGATGAGACCAACTTTTATTGTCTCTTAGCTGTGTTGTTATGGATGAAACTGAAACCTTAATGGTACACTTGTTCCCTTGAAGCCCTGTGATCTTTCCAAACTTGCTCAGACAACATGAAATGTCAATTTGATATCGTTACTTCTGGCCGTTGTAGTCATTTGCACGGATACCTGTCTGTATTGCCTTTACACGGAGCGGAGTTGCTGCATCGGGAATATTGACGCCGTATGCTGCCCCCCAGCGCAATCGGAGATCCGACGAGGCCGGTGTATTTGATTCTTACCGCTTGAGGCAATGATCTTATGGAGGGATTTTGGCATCCACTGGACGTGCTGCCGGGGTTTGTGCCAATCTGCAGCAGGGAGGCGTATTGTAGGCCATGCCGTCCCGTCTTTCCGCATCTCCATTCTGGGGTGTGGTCCCCGATGCAAAGTTGTCGCTAGCCTTCAACGAAGCCTAGTTCCCTGTTCTTCCAACACCAGAAAGTTCTCCTGTAGCCACCCATGAGTAGCCCTCATTCCACGGTCGAAACTGCCGATGGCAGTGCTATTGCTGCTACAGATGATCATGTTCAACTAGCCTCCACATCAGGGCCTGTTCCGGGCAACGCCTTAGAGCCTAAGGGTGACAGCTCGGCAGGAGTAAATGATGATGTCGACGAGCCGGACGACTTCCACCCCGGGTGGCGGCTGTGGGCCATCATAGCTGGCCTGATAGTTGCGTTGATCCTCACAGCATTCGAAAACACAGCCGTCAGCGTTGCGATGCCCGTGATTGTTGCTGACCTGAATATGGGTGATGAATACATTTGGATAACCAATGGGTTTTTCGTAGCTAGGTATGCGGCATTGAGCTCTGAAGGACATTGCATATAACTGACTGCGGCCATTAGTGCAGCGATACAACCGCTTGTTGGGCAGCTTTGTAACATCTTCGGCCGACGATGGATCATGCTGATCAACGTGGCCATCTTCACCTTGGGCAGTGGCATTTGCGGCGGAGCGCACAACTCAGCGACCATGATCGCGGGTCGAGTTGTCCAAGGTCTGGGATCCGGGGGTATCACCTTGCTCGGGGGTATGTGTGAAATTCGCCATGTCCAGCCAATAATGGTTTTGTTGATCGCTAACCCGTCATACAAAAGACATCATCATGTCTGACCTCGTCCCTCTTCGCTACCGCGGCAATTATCTGGCTGCCATCTTGTCCGTCTTTGGCATTGCCTTAATCCTTGGCCCGTTTCTCGGAGGTTCTATTGTCGCTACAACAACATGGCGCTGGATCTTCTACCTCAATTTCCCCATTGGCGGCGCTGCGTTGATTCACCTATTTGTCTTCCTTCATGTCAACTACGACGACGATGCGACCCTATCTCAAAAGTTGAAGCGTATCGATCTGCTTGGCAACTTTGTGCTCATGGCATCGGTGGTTTCGGCCTTGTTCGCTCTCGCGTATGCCGGCTCAACCTATAACTGGGGCTCGTATCGTATCTTGGTGCCCTTAATCATTGGGCTTCTTGGCCTCGTACTCTTCGGCTTCACCCAGCGTGGCCGATTTGCAGCTTCGGAGCCGGTGATGCCTCCGCGCCTCTTTCACCATCGGACTTCTGTGATTATTGCTGTCAACACCTTTATCAACTCTGCGCTAACATATTGGGTCCTGTTCTTTCTGGTAAGCGTTCTTTGCACGGAAGTCAGATGAGTACAGATACTAACATAGAGCTGGACAGCCCGTCTTCTTCCAAGCTGTAAAGCTGTATGGGCCGCAGTACGCTGGAGTCGCCCTCCTGCCGTCACTGGTTATCACTATGCCTGGATCGGCACTGGCAGCAGTGGCGATCAGTCGCTGGGGCCGTTATAAACCGGTTCATGTTGCTGCGTTCGCCATCTTCGTCATTGGTCTCGGCTTGCTCACACTTCAGAATCCAGACACGACCGTCGCACAGTGGGCAAGTTACCAGAGCATTGCTGCCTTGGGCGGTGGCGCGCTCATTAACTCACAGTTGCCTGCGTTCCAGAGCCCTGTAGAGGAGAGCGACCAGGCGGCAGCGTCGGCAACCTGGGGTTTCATCCGAAGTCTCGGCTTTGTCTTTGGCGTAGCGATTCCTGCGACCATTTTCAATAACCGCATCTATGACCTGCAAGGAGCCATCGCAGACCCAAGTGCGAAGCTGGCGCTATCTACGCTGGGGCCGTATGGTTCTGCGTCTGCCTCTTTTGTACGTCAGTTCGACCTCGAAACGCAACATCAGCTGCGTAATGTATTTTCGCAGGGCTGTTTACGTGTATTTCAGGTTGCTCTTGGCCTCTGCGCATTGGGCTTCGTCTTGTCTTTGTTCGAAGATGAGATTGTGTTACGGAAGAAGCTGAAGACAAAGTACGGATTGAAAGTCAAGCCGGAGAGCAACACACATGGTTCCGTTGACGCAGAGATTGCAGTTGAGCAAGAGGTTACAGTTGAGGGAAGGGTTGCGAAGGAAAAGGTGGCAGAGAAAGTTGAAGAGTCGTAGCTTCTTCAGAAGTGGACTTGTAAATAAGGTAAGTTTTGTTGAACACGCTAGTGAAGGGGGATATTTACCTATTTGGGCTTCAGTAGGAATAGACTATATTAAAAATGAATTATACAAGCTGTCAAGTAATTAAGAGCAAGATTCTGTCAAGACAGACCAAAAGATAGGCAGAAACTCTTCTTGCGTCATATTTCGGCAACAGTCCCCGTTCGCGGCGAAGGAAGAGTAGTCTAGCTATAGCCCGGCGCTAGATTACCAGAATAGGATACTATGCTGAAAGTGTAGTTAGTAGTATAAGTATCCTGAGGCACTTATCTAATGATTGGGCGATGCATACGTCAATCACTTGTTTACATGTTTACAAGACTGTGTGTAAGTGCGACAACATCAGGCGGCTACTGAAGGATGGCGGTCGACTCGCCACTAGTAATCCCTCTGACGCAAACGGCGATAGTACAAGATGAGAACGGCGCTCCAAAGCTAGATCAGAAGGCAGCAGTGCCTCGTCTCGAACCAGGGACGGTGCTAGTGAAAACGACAGCCGTGGCTCTCAACCCTGCCGACTACAAGATGGGCGCCGCATTTCCCACGCCTGGCGCTGTAGTTGGCATGGACTATGCTGGCGTGGTCGTTGCCGTCCACCCCGAAACAGTGACCAGTTTGGGCGTGGGTGAAGCGGTCTGCGGCATGGTCCACGGCTCAAACCCCACAAGCCCGGACGACGGTGCCTTTGCCGAGTACATCCGCGTCCGTCCCGAAATGGCGCTCCGTGTACCCCAGGGCGGGGAGGGCCGCGTACATCTGCCCATGGAACAAGCTGCAACGCTCGGGGTTGGCCTCATGACCAACATCATGGCTCTTTGGGACTCTTCTGGTCTTTCTCTGTTGGCAAATCCCAAAGAGCCTGCCGCAAAACCGCTCCCCGTTTTGGTTTACGGTGGCAGCACCGCGACGGGGACACTGGCGACACAGCTCTTGCGCCTATCGGGTCTGCGGCCTGTCACGACGTGTAGTCCGCGTAATTTTGACCTCGTCCGCACAAGGGGTGCAATGGAAGCCCTGGACTACGTCAATCCCACCGTCGTCGACGACGTGAGAGCATTTGCTGGAGGCAAACTGAAGCATGTGCTTGATTGCATCGGGGACTCGTCGTCGGCCGCGCTTTGCTACGCGACCATTGGCCGAACGGGTGGTCATTACGTCACTCTAGAGCAGGTCAGCGACGAGTTGCTCAAGTCGCGACTCGCCGTTCGAGCCAAGGTCGCGCTCGGTTATGAGCTTTTTGGGCGTAAAGTAGCACTGCCTGGGGTGTACGGATGCCCTGCCCAGCCAGAGAAATCTGCCCTGGCGGCGCGTTATCTGCCAATCTTACAAGACCTACTGGATAGAGGGGCGTTACGAACGCATCCAACGCAATTAGTTGGTGGTGAGCTCTCGGATGTGTTGGAGGGGTTGAAATTGTTGAAATCAGGATCGGTGTCGGGGCAAAAACTTGTGGTTGTTTTATGAGACCTCGACGGATCTCATCCGCTCTGCCGCGTAAGGTTCCACAGCATGATTATAGAGTTTGTGCACATGGAGTTTAATGTAGCATAGTAGATGTTTTATATATTTGCCAAGATGGGCACGCATGTGATCTCCATTCATATACCATGGACGGTGCAACAAACGCATTGAAGCGCCGTCATGGAGCAATACGCTCTTTAAGCAAAGATCTCGCTCTGGCGATATATCTGCGAAGAGCTATTATGCCGCCCTTGCCTCGGCCCAGAGTCTCATCATCTTCCCTCGCTAAGATCGCCGTCGTCAGATCCAAGAAGCCAAAGGCCCCAAATAAGCCTTCTCGCTCCCCACGACGTCTGCTGATGCTCAATTCTATAGGCAGACCAAGCAACATCTCCATATTCTCAAAGTGGCTCGTAACAATCTCAATTAATATTAGCATCTGGAGATTGCCTGAGTCTGGGGCCATATTAGCAACGAGACAGAAAATTGAGGGGTCATGTCACTCCCTGGTTGGGTATCTTACGAGTGGAGTAATTGCTAATGGTGAGGCCTGAAATGGGCCGTAGACGTGGATTGTCACTCTCAGAGATATTCTTCAGATACTGGTAGATGTGAGAGAAGACGGTGAGATACATGCCAAATATACGACTGTACGAGGCTAGAATGAGAAGTAAGGAAGGTGTGTTAAGTTCCAGATAAGCGTGCCCAGAACCTGACGAAGCGGCCCGCCGTGCGTCACTCGTTTCTTGTCGCGGTGAAGCTGTTGGATTACTACGAGGGGCAGAATAAGTGCTTGAAGAAACAGTGCTCACTCTCCTACTGTAGGCGACAGGAGAAGTTTGTTTCGAAGAGAGAGACGACCGTTCCGTATTAGGGATGCAGGCTGTTGACAATAAGCCAAGTATATCTACATAGCGGGTTGTCTTTTCGAGAATATCTTTCATGACCCCCGAATAAGACGAGTCGCCCTCTCCCACCTCAAAGAGGGCATGCATCAGGACCTCAGGCGTGGCTTGTTCAAGCTTTGAACAAAGTACGATGAGGTCGTGGTCCAGCTGCGATAGTTGCCGTAAAGGGTCGCACTGGTTATTACTGCTCATTTTGTCAAATGGCGAGGTTCGAGACGGCGAGATGCTGTCTTCCGTGAGGGTGTTAGTCGCCTTATCAGCCATCGGAGTATTGAGCGGGCTGAGTAAAGGCATCGACTGCGTTACACCATGTGCATCCGATGCATATTCTCCCATTGTCGCGAAAAAGTCGTCGGGCGGAGTGAAGCCAGTAAGGGTATCCTCCATATTGCACTCCATGAAGTCGAACGTCTCCTCTGCGTACGCATCGGTTCCTTGCTGAGACACAGGTGGCTCTGGCAGAGCTAGCTGAATATTGCCATCGGACCTTGTGTCACGGGAGCCTCTTCTGCTTGGGTAGTTCTCAGTAATGACACTGGAGTCGACGGCCGCCGGCGAAGCGATCATGTCCCCACCAACGAGCGACCTCTCAGCGCCATCTCGACGCTTGTTGCTCGTGCTTTTCCTTCTAAGTGTGCTGCCGCTTATCCTGTCTGGCTGGCAATCCCGCACTCTAAAGATAGGACTTGTCATACACTCATGCTCGGCACGAGTGCAGCGATCGCATTTGGGCTGATCAGGATCACTGCGAAGACATCGCGATTTGGAGAAGCGACATTTGTCGCACGCTGATCGGCGTGAAGAGACTCCCAGTATGCTAGGTGGCTCGGCCATCGTTCCCTGGAAATGATTTCGTGAGGATATCTTGGTAAACCGTCGATTCGGTCGTGAAACGCGAGGGCGAGAGACCCCGCGGCGGAACGTATGCAGTAAGATTAGTCTTCTCGATGAATCGCAGTTTGGAAAATACCGATACAGTATCGCGCAGAACAATTGCTTACACTGTTTAGGCCTCTCTGAGACATATTTTCAGCTGGGTGGTAAGCGCCGCTGAATTGCTCTTCTTCTAGACTTGCACTTCTTCACACCACGCCAAAGTCCCACCAACGCACGAGCGAGGCATCTTGCTTACCATTTGCAACCCTTTCCCATGGTCGGTGCCGATCTAGCCCGTCTGGAGCATCGCCCGAGTTTTTTTTTGGGGGGCAAGTATTGGATTGGGGCCAATAATGGTGCAGAGGTGTAGCATTGCTGCGGGACCGTACATGAGGCGGACGCATGGCTTTACCTGTAACAAGGACTTGTAACATGTGGTGGTGCCAACGGCACAGAACTGGATAGATCCGGAAAGACCTTGTGGAGGCTCTGTGAGGAGGAGATCTTGTGAGTCCCAGCTTCAACCGCGCATAGGAGTATCGGTCCCATATATGCACCGCTCGGTCCCCAACTCGTTTTGCCTGACCGCTTGGCGAAGGTGTCAATAATCATGCCTCAATGTGGCGTAAGGCTGCACCAAGTCCAATATAAGGCCTCCCCACGGATGGGCATCCCACTTTTGTGGTGCGATAGTCTAAGACACTATCCAGCACACCATCTTGCTGCCTGCTGCATTGCCCTTTGCCAGGGTTCGGGGACCAACTTAATCGCACCACTAGGAGGGAGTCGAAGGATCCTTCAAAATCAGAGGCAAGGATAGTTGTCTAGGGCTCTCGGGAAGAGGCTGCCGGAAAGACTACTTGTCTCTGCCGTCGCCCGGCTATTCGGCTCAGCACTGATAACATCTAGCCCGGCCAGGCATGCGCATCCCCCAGGCCCCGAAAAGGTATACAAGCCCCGGGACGGGGAGCTAGAACCGAGTCGAGTTTGGATTCACAGCACACCTCGCAGTAGCTTTCTTCTGACCATGTCGTGCTTACCCGTCATGTCTGCTTTTGGTAATCGTATGCCGCCAACATCAGACGGTATGCAGCGCATATATTTGGCTTTGATATGGCTTTAATCTAGGGTAGAAAGCTTGTCCACTCTCGTGATACTGGAAGCCGTGGTATCGTTAGACACTCCCTGCGTAATAGCTAGCTAAAGTTGTTTTATTATTCGTCATACTACTAGATTGAACATGGAGCGCAGCGGGGAGCCAGTTGCCATCATCGGCACCAGCTGTCGTTTCCCAGGTGACTCAACCACGCCATCCAAGTTCTGGGAGCTTCTGCGAGAACCCCACGATCTGTTGAAGCCCCACCGCAGAGGCTTCGACTCAGAGTCTTGGTACAGTGAGAATGGGAAACATCACGGTCGCTTCAATGTGAAACAAGCGTACCAGCTTGATGGCGAGAATACACACAGCCAATTCGACGCCCCGTTCTTCGGCATCAGTGCCGTAGAAGCCAACACTATGGACCCACAGATGCGTTTGCTACTAGAAACAGTGTATGAAGCCCTTGAAGCTGGCGGCCAATCGATGGAGCGTCTCCGTGGCTCAGATACGGCCGTCTACACTGGTGTGAGTTATGGATCCACGATCCTTCATACGTTCAACGCACTATCACTCAGTCTTATTTGTTCAAGACAAGCGTAAATTGTCCACACTGACCCTTGCTAGATGATGAGCAATGGCTATCAAACGATCATGGAGAGAGACATGTTATGCATGGGAAAGTACCATGCTAGTGGCGTAAGCCGAACAATGATGTCGAATAGATTATCATATGTCTTCGACTGGCATGGCCCCTCTATGTGAGCACGACCTGATCTTTGACTATGAAATTCTAAGCCAGAAGTTTTTGATGCAAAACGAGCTTCATTAACCAAACAAATAGGACCATAGACACGGCCTGCAGTTCAAGCATGGTTGCCGTTCATCAGGCTGTTATGCAGCTTCGCACCGGACAGTCGCATGTAGCTGTTGCTGCCGGCGCAAATTTGATCCTCGATCCTGCAGACTATATTGGCATGAGCAATCTTGACATGCTCTCGCCTGACAGTCGTTCCAGAATGTGGGATGCGAATGCGAATGGGTATGCTAGAGGTGAAGGTGTTGCCGCCGTTGTCTTGAAGCTACTCAGCGCCGCCGAGGCAGACGGTGATCACATCGAGTGTATCATACGAGAAACCGCCATTAACCAAGATGGGAGAACCAAAGGAATTACAATGTCAGTATCACCTCCAAAAGTATTATACATCTATATCTAACCGTAGCGATGGATTGGACGCCATAGGCCTAGCTCTACAGCTCAAGCGCAGCTCATATCAGACTGTTATGCCCGTGCCGGTCTAGACTTGCTCGACCCTACACAAAGACCTCAGTACTTTGAGGCCCATGGTAAGCTATAGCATCAATACGCCGCTACTGGTACTGACACCGAGGTATGGCAGGTACGGGCACGCCAGCGGGTGACCCCATAGAGGCGGAAGCTATCAAAGAGGCTTTCTTTCCCATTGTCAACAACAACGCGGCACATGCTCCAGAAAAGTTGTTTGTTGGAAGCGTCAAGACCGTCATTGGGCATTCCGAGAGTGTAGCAGGGTTGGCTGCATTGATCAAAACTTCCTTGGCTCTCCAGAATTCGTTGATACCCCCAAACCTCTTACTGCAAGACATCAATCCAAAAGTTTTGCCTTTCTATGGTAATCTTCAGATCCCCAGTACAGCTGTTCCTTGGCCCAGAGTGCCTGATGGTTGCCCACGAAGAGCAAGCGTGAATAGGTGAGTATCGTCCTTGCGGCACTGATGACTGTCCTAACCTCTTGTAGCTTTGGCTTTGGGGGTGCTAACTCCCATGCCATTGTTGAGAGTTACATTCCAAACTTGACCATGACCGGCAATGGCCAGATTTGCTGTATCCCCTTTGTCTTTTCTGCCGCCTCTACCGTGTCATTGGCGGCTATTCTAGCAAATACACGTCGGTATTTGATGTCAAACACAGACGACGTCAGTCTTCGCGACTTGGCCTTGACCATGTATCTTCGTCGCTCGCGACATGCATACGGGATTGCCATTGCGGCAAGTAGTCTCACAGAGCTTTGCCAAAAGCTGGAGAAGTCTTGTTACGACTTGACAGCAGACGGGGGAACCTCTACCAGCATTCGATCATCAACACAGTTGTCGAGTGGACATCATCGCAAGCCCAGGATCCTTGCCATCTTCACGGGACAAGGAGCACAGTGTTCACGGATGGGTGCTGCATTCATCGAGAGATCAGTGTATTGTCGAGATATTGTCGACAGACTTGAAGCACGGCTCGCAAGTCTGCCGGAAAAAGATCGCCCAAGCTGGTCACTTAGACAGGAGCTTTTGGAAGCGCCAGCAGCAAGAATCAACAAAGCCTCGATATCTCAGCCACTATGTACAGCTTTGCAAATCATGCAAGTGGAGCTGATGCGTCGCGCAAATGTCGACTTCTCTGCCGTAGTTGGCCATTCATCAGGGGAAATATCTGCGGCCTATTGTGCCGGCATGATTACGGCAGACGAGGCCATCTGCATTGCCTATTATCGTGGTTTGATCTCGGAACGGGCAAGTCATGCCCAACCAAAGCGCGGCGCCATGATTGCCGTGGCGACAACATTGCCCGACGCACAGGAGCTTTGTGAGGATGACGACTTCAAGGATCGAGTGTGCGTGGCCGCCGTCAACTCGCCGACCGGCATCACCCTATCGGGGGATTCCGACGCAGTCGAGCACTTGCATACAATCTTCAAGGATGAGGGCAAACTTGTGCGAAGTCTCCAAGTGGATCAAGCGTACCACTCCTTCCACATGGAGACGTGTGCAGAGGAGTATGTGCGTGCCTTGGAGGCGCTTAATATTGAACCAAAATTGACTGAGACGTCGTGGTTCTCAAGCGTTGATGGCGGTACACAAGTAGGCACAGGCTACCTGGTACGACTTCGATCCACCTACTGGGGCGACAACATGGTTCAACCTGTGATGTTCATGCAGGCCATCGATCGAGCATGGAAGTCTTGCGGTCCGTTTGATATGGCAGTCGAACTTGGCCCTCACCCCGCCTTGAAGCGCCCGGCGCTTGAAACCATGCAGGAGCTGCACGGCCAAAAGATCCCATATACGGGAGTTCATGCCCGGGGGAAAGATGCTGTCGAGGCATTTGCCGATGCCCTTGGGCTTCTTTGGGCCCATGTTGCCTATGCAAACCTCACCCAGTATGACAGATACGTGACCGGCCAGGCCGACTATATACCCGTCGTGGGACTACCGCCTTATGCCTGGGATCATCCAAAGCAGTATTGGCATGAGTCCAGATATGCCAAGGCAATTCGCACACAACCTGGGCCATCTCACGAGTTGCTTGGGCATTTGACGCCGGATAGCAACGACAAGGACATGAAATGGAGGAAAGTTCTCTGCCCAGATGAAGTACCATGGTTAAAGAACCATGCCATAGAAGGTCAGGCCATTTTCCCCGCCGCTGGCTACGTTGTCCTGGCAGTCGAGGCTACTGCGGCCATGGTAAAAGCAAAAGGGCTGCTCGTTTCGCTTATCGATGTACGAGATCTCGATATTGGCAAGGCTTTGGCGTTTGGTTCGGCCGATACCAGGATGGAGCTTGTCGTCTCTCTAAACATCATCCATCAAAATGACCATACCATCACTACGTCCTTCCACTTGCACGCAGCGCCAATACTCTCGGATGGGTCTCTCAATCTCCTTGCGAGCGGCAGCACAACAGCGACTCTTGGCGACAGCAACCCAGACGTACTCCCCTCGACGAGATGCCTTCAGACAGGTCTTTCCAACATCAACTACGAAGATTACTATCAGTCTTTATCCAGTCTTGGCTACGACTACGCCGAACAGTTCCGAGCGCTGCGTGGCCTGAAGAGAAAGTTTGGCTTCGCGAGTGGCTCCATTCAAGTAGAGAGGTCGGCAATGCTGGTTCATCCTGCTGTACTAGACGCCTCGTTTCAGTCCATGTTCCTCGCCAACTGCGCTCCTCACACCGGTGGCATATGGGCGCTTCATGTTCCAAAGACGATACGTCTTGTTCGCGTCAACCCCTCTGTCTGTGCTGCTGCGAATGGGAACAACACCGTCTCTGTAGAGTGTACGCAGCCCAAAGACGTACCTGGTTTTGAGTGCGATGTTGACATATTTTCAATGGATGGAGACCTAGAGCGATGCATGATCCAGGTGCAAGGACTTTCTTGCGTTCCTTTGACTCGACCAACTGTTGCAGACGACCGAGAGATGTTTGCTACTGTGGTTTGGGACGTAGCGGTACCCGACGGCAATCGAGTCACGTTTGATGGCCAGCCTACAGAGCACAAGATTCAGCTGGCCTCTCTACTGGAGCGTCTATCTGTATTTTACCTCAAAACACTCTGCATCAATGTTCCAGAGCAACACCCATCTCGTCAGACGGATCCCTATCAACACTACTTCAATTTTGCCTCGCATATCTTGTCTCAGGCTAAAGAGGGCACGCTACCTTACTGGTCGTCCAAATGGACCAACGACAGCTACGACGATGTACGCGCAGCTTCGGAAGCGTTTCTTGAATATCCTGATGTCCAGTTACTGCAAGCTATCGGTGAGAACATTGTAGACATTGCGACGGGGAAAACACTAGCAATCGAAATCGGGATGAGAAATGATATGCTAGCTAGGATCTACGAGTTTGGGCTAGGTTTCCAGGAGTACTCGATATTCCTGGGTAGACTAGTCAAGCAAATTGCCCATCGACATCCCGGTATGAACATCATCGAGGTCGGCGCCGGCACCGGTGTGGCCACGAAACGAGTATTCTCCGAAATTGGAAAGACGTTCTCATCATACACATTTACCGACATCTCTTCTGGTTTCTTTGAAAGAGCCAAAGGCCTTTTCAGCTCCCACCAAAGCGCGATGCTGTACAAGGTACTCGACATTAGTCGCGATGTAGCCAGTCAGGGTTTCGATGAGCATTCCTACGACATGGTCGTTGTTTCTGCAGTTTTGCATGCGAGTAAGTCATCTGAATCCGAGACCATGAGTAAATACTAACCTTCTATAGCTCCAGATTTGCGTGTTACGCTAAGTAATGTGCGACGCTTACTCAAGCCTGGAGGCTTTTTGGTAGCTGTTGAGGGCCAACCCACATCGGCCATGCTGGGAACTATATTCGGTTCCCTTCCAGGTTGGTGGCTGGGTGCAAATGACGGCAGAAGGCTCTCCCCATGCGTTGATCTACCCACTTGGGACACTCTGCTGCGAGCTACAGGTTTCTCTGGTTGCGATACGAAGATACAGAGCGCGGGTGATGCAGCAATGCCAATGACGGCTTTTGTATCCCAGGCTGTTGACGACAGAGTCAACTTCGTTCGACATCCCTCGTCTACACCCATGGCACTCTTCCAGGGCGACAACTTGAGAAGGGAGGAAGAGCTTCTAATCCTTGGCAGCAGAGTCGCACAATCTCTGCTGCCTCTATTGCAATCTCAATGGGGAAACAGGATCAGGACCGTCGACTCGCTAGCAGCACTAGACATTAGTTTGGTCGGATCCAACACGACAATACTGAGTCTTTTAGATCTCGACACGCCATTATTTGGCAATCTCCAGTCTGATACATGGGTCGCTTTGAGAACCTGCCTGCAACAAGCAAACACCATCTTGTGGGTTTCGTCCAATCGTCGATGTGAGAATCCAGACGCCAACATGATGATTGGACTTTTGCGGTCGGTCAAGCATGAAATACCTACAATTGCCATTCAGAGCCTGGACTTTGAGTCTCCGGCGCTTCCAAGCGCCCAGAGAATTGCCGATGCCCTTGTCGCATTCAAGGCAGCGCTCATGTGGCAGCAAGACGGCAACATGCTTTCAACCATTGAGCCAGAGATTGTGATTGACACGGATGGCACGCCTGTTATTCCTCGGATGAAGCCGGATCAAACAATGAATAACCGGTACAACTCACCACGACGTCCAGTCTTTTCTAACAGTTCCTGCCATCGAGGTAATGGCAACATTGCCCTCGCCGGTTTTGATGGAACACTGCCATCCTGGCAACAACACGCTGTGCCCCCGCCGACGCCTAAATTTACAATTCAAGTCACTCGTTCTCTACGGTCCGCATTGTACATTCCCAAGGTTGGCTTCATGAATCTTGTGCTGGGACGCAATCCTGAGTCAGATGAACAAGTCGTCGCTTTGACCACACAACCTACCCTACATGTCATTCCTGTCGTCACAGTTGCCCTGCCAATGCCTGTCCCAGCAGCTCAGGAGGCTGCATTTTTATCGCTTCTGGCGTACCAGCTCATTTCCAAGCTGCTAGCTAGTGAAGTCTCTTTTGGTACTACGGTGGTTGTTCACAACAAAGAAGAAGAGCCACTTATCTCGATTCTCAGAGATACAAGTGAGAGAAATGTCCTCAGCTTGAAAATCGGCTTGTCACCTCATAATAATTACATCCATCCAATGACGCCAGACCGAAAACTTCGGCAGATGATCCCAAGCGACACGTCGGTTTTTTGCGATCTCAGCATTGGTCAGTCTGGGTCTGCTGCCGGAGCTCGTTTCAGAGCGCATTTGCCCAGTAACTGCCGTGTCTATGATCGCTCGTCAATTTTTGCCGTTCCTTGTTCCTCGGAGTTTCCACATGCGCAGCAATCAGCGTACTTGGTCGCGTTATTGCGTGATTGTGTTTCTCGCTGTCACGCAGAGACTGCGCCTTTTAGTGCTCTTTCTTACGCGGATGGAGGTCATCTACTCGAGACTGTGAAATGGCCTGCTCACGCGTCTGATGTACAGGTCCGAGTGCGTCCTGCTGACTCATATGTCCAATTTTCGACGAACAGGACGTACTGGTTATGTGGTCTTAGCGGGGGCCTTGGGTTGTTGCTTTGCGAGTGGATGATAGATCGTGGAGCGACACACGTCGTCATCTCAAGTCGCTCGCCTAAAGTGGAAGAGCAATGGCTAGTGAGGATGCGCAATCTGGGAGCAGATGTGAGGATATTCGCATGGTGAGTAACCATCAATCAATAGATTTTCTGGCTACCTACTGACAAATTCATACCAAGTGATATCACGGATCGGGCAGCCGTTCAGGGTCTGTACAGGCAGATCAAGTCCAGCCTTCCACAAGTCGCTGGAATTTGCCAGGGCGCAAGTGAGTATCGGAAGGCTTTTCAAACTTGGCACTTCGTAACTAACTATGATTTGTACGTGTACAGTGGTATTGGAAGATGTTGCAGTTGGCAACATGTCCATTGATTCTATGCTTAAAGTAACCCGACCAAAAGTTCTAGGAAGTATTCACATGGATGAGCTTTTTCAAACCGATGATCTCGAATTCTTTATCCTCTTCTCTTCCGTCAGCTCCATCCTCGGCAACATTGGCCAAGCGAATTACGGAGCAGGCAATATGTTCATGAGCAGCCTGGCAGAACGGCGGCGGCGAAGAGGATTATCAGCCTCGGTGATGCACATCGGTCCAATCTCAGGTGCCGGCTACATCAGCGATCGCGGTCTCGATTCCCATTTTCACAAGATGTCCTTGAGGAAAGCTGCAAGTTTAATGTCAGAGCGAGACTTTTTCCAGCACTTTGCTGAAGCTGTCATGGCTGGGCGGCCGGAGTCTAACTCGCCTGACATCACTTCCGGCCTAGCAAGAGTTGAGTCGGCACGCGAAATTGGGCCATTATTAAGTCACATGGTGATACAGCAAGCCTCGCAAGAAGATACTGGTGCGCAAGCAAAGCCCAAGGCCTCTCTTAGATCGCAGCTTTTAGAAGTCAGAGCATCTAATGAGCTCGAACCCATAATCCGCGAGGCGCTCTTATCGAGATTGAGCGTCGTGTTTCAGATGGAGCTTTCTGCATATAGCCAGACTCAGTGTAGCATGACACGCCTTGACGAAATGGGCACAGACTCGTTGATGGCCATTGACATCCGTAGCTGGTTTGTCAAGGAGCTACAGGTCAACATTCCCGTGTTAAAGATCTTGAGTGGTGTGACGATCAGCGATCTTATTGCAACAGCAGTAGAGACAATTCCCAACTCCTTGGTACCGAAACTTAGTGATGAGCAACGTCTGGGCCCCAAGATGGCAACAGAGATGGACATGGAGGACGGAGCCAAGACACCCGCAACTGATTCCTTCACATCCAAGGACTCGGATAGTGGCAGCGCGACCTTGACTGAGCCAACTCCATTTTTAGGGGATCAGGATCCAGTCGAGTTGCTTTTTGAGAAGGGCTCTTTGACTTCACCAACTAATGAGCAAGTCCCAAATGTCTCGACAGCCGCCAGTCTGAACGATTCAGCTCCAGCGTCGTTGGTAACCTCTCCACACAGCAAACCTGACCATTCCGCGGAATGCTCAACTCAACTTAAGGAGGCTGGCCTGATGAATCAACTATCAGACGTTGCTGACGAGAAAGTTTTGGAATTGTCCTTTAGCCAAAGTCTCTTCTACTTTTCTGCCGCCTTCGCCGTAAACCCGACCCATCTGAACTTGACGAGTGCATACCGAATGACAGGAACGCTATGCGTCCAATCAATGAAAGATGCCGTGCTAGCGCTTGGGAGTGAACACGAGTCCCTCAGAACCCGGTTCTTCGTCGAAAACTCTCGTCCCATGCAAGCTGTCATGAAGTCGAGCCTATTGCGGCTGGAACACTATACTATTCAACACGAAAGCGAGCTGGAAACATATGTCAATGATATCCACAGTCACGTCTACGACCTTGAAAGAGGCGATACTATGCGGCTCGCCGTAGTGTCAACATCGGAAGGCCGTAACTTTGTCATCATGGGAACACATCACCTTTCCATGGATGGACAGTCGGCTCTCCCATTCATGAAGGGCCTCATGGAACATTACACCGGTACCCCGACAAACTACGGGACAAGGCCTCTGCAGTATCTTGACATGAGTGAGAAGCAACACGCCGACTTTAGGCTCGGCCGCTTCGAGAAAGAACTCACGTATTGGAAGAATGAGCTTGCAAATCCGCCACCGCCCCTTCCCATGATGCGAATATCGTCGCTCGTCTCACGGCCAGTGTTGCGAGATTACGGGAACAGGCATTGGAACGTGCGAATCGGACTCGAAACGAAGAAGAAGATTTTACTTCTGTGCCGTCGCTACAGAGTAACGCCGTTTCACTTCTACCTCGCTATCTACAGGGTTTTAATTTACAGATATACGGGAGCCGAAGAGTTTGCCATAGGAATTGGCGACGCAAACAGGACCGAAGAGTGCATGATGGAGAGTATCGGGGCATTTGTGAATGTATTGCCAATACTCCTGCGTACCGATTCGCAACAACAGTTTGATGCTATACTCACCGAGACGCGATCAAAGACTCACGCTGCACTGGAGCATTCTCGGTTACCATTCCATCTACTTTTGAGCGAGTAAGTTTTCCCTCACATTGGCAATGATCTGTCGGTGGCTGACTTAGATCTCTAGACTTGGTATAGCTCGCTCTGCGACAACCACGCCGATCTTCCAAGCATTCATGGACTATCGCTTAGTAGGAGAAACCATGGGCTGGAAGGACTTTTCATTTGAGCTGCAGTCCTTCAAACCATCCATCATGGCATATGATGTGGCTGTAGATATTTTTGACAATTCCGGCGGGGACTGTCGTCTGACTTTCATTGTTCGCGACGACATATATAGCCAAGTCGATGTCGAGCAACTGGCCGAGAGTTATATCTGCCTTGTCGATGCGTTGACACGCTGGCCAGAGGTGACTATTAGTGAGCCGCAGATGTTTGAGGAAAGCAAGATGCAAACGGCACTTGATCTGGGTCGAGGTAAGTCTAATGATCCAACCGTCTTTGGCGTCAACTGATCTCAGTCATAAGGGCCCATCTACGAATCGAGGCAATGGGGACACACAGTCGTACACCGCATCGGTGAGATTGTTAAGCAACATCCCACAAAGACGGCTGTCGTTGATGGCAACGGCGTCGCCATATCATACCACGATTTATTCCAGGACCAAGTCAACAAGATTGCCGTGGAACTGGATGCCGTTGGAGCGACGTCTGGTGCTCGAGTCGCTGTGTTGCAGGAACCATTGCCAACCTCTGTGGCCACAATACTTGCCATCTGGAAAATCGGAGGCACGTATATACCACTCGATCTTCGAACCCCGGGGACCCGACGAGCTGCCATCATTGAAGACTCTCAGCCCCAGCTATTGCTCGTGGACGAGTACACGCGAGAGTTTACGGAGGTATTGGAGCTGGAGAACATCCAGGTGATTGATGTCTCGAAAGTCAAGAACTCTACGAAGCAAATTCCAAACTCTGTCACTGTGAAGGCTGCGTCCGCCATTCTCTACACTTCTGGCTCTACAGGAACACCCAAAGGCATTGTTCTCACACATCGTGGCATCCAATCTTGGCTTCAGCCATGTGCTCTCTTATACGCCCTCAACACACGGAGCCGGGTCCTTCAGCAAAGCTCACAGGGATTTGATATGTCTTTGATGCAAATGCTCACTGCATTGTGCTTCGGGGGAAGTGTATATTTGCTCCCCCGCGAGCTCTTGGGCGATGCCCGGGCTATTGTCGACATGATCACGCGTCAGAACATAACACATACCTTTGGAACGCCCTCGGAGTACTTGAGCTGGCTCCGATTTGGAGACTCTCTGGCCCTGCGACATTCATCTTGGACTTTTGCAGTGGTTGGAGGTGAGCCGCTCACGGATTCTGTTCTCAAAGAGTTCGCGACGCTCGATAAACCTGATCTAAGGTTCCATCACATGTACGGAACCTCCGAGTCAACATTTTGTGCTTCGGTCATGGAATTGGACTATAGAATGATGTGTGGCGAAGATGGCCACCCGGCAGCGGCTCGAGTGAGCTACCCAGCAGGCGTCACACTGCCAAACTACAATATGTACGTCCTCGACGAGCACCAGCGGCCACTGCCCCCCGGTTTCAAGGGAGAGATTTTCATAGGCGGGGGCGGCGTTGCGCAAGGATATCTGAATAATCCATCTCTCACCGCCGAGACGTTTCTGCCTGATCCTTTCGCAACAGCGGACGACCATGCTCGGGGCTGGAACATGATGCAGCGGACGGGTGACATGGGCCGATGGTCGCAGACGGAACACGGCGCCATCATTATCGAGGGCCGTGTGCTCGGCGACACCATGGTCAAGTTGCGAGGACTGCGTGTGGATCTGCGGGATATAGAGATGGCCATGCTCCATGCCGGAGGCGGTTTGATTACCGATGTTGTTGTGTCGGTTCGTCAGACCTCGCCTGACCTGCCGGAGTTCCTTGTCGCTCACGTTCTGGTCCAAAGCAATCTGAACCAAGACAAGGACACCTTCGACTTTAGGACAGTTCGTACCAAAATGGACTTGCCCTTGTCTATGAAGCCGGCCTTCATCATTCCATTGGATTCTCTGCCCATGACGTCCTCTGGAAAGCTTGATCGGCGTGCTATCAATGCGCTGCCACTGATGGATAAGCATGTCGAACCCGAAGAGATCGCCTTGACCACAACGGAGGAAAGGCTGAAGCATGTTTGGGAAGATGCTTTGCATGACGCCCACGCGCTACACATCAAACCAAACACCGACTTTTTCCACGTAGGCGGTACATCCTTACTCCTGCTTGGTCTACGTGACAAGATCAAGACTGAGTTTGAAGTAGAGCTCTCGCTTGTCGATCTGTTCGAGACAAGCACCCTGTCCACTATGGCAAGTCGGATTGAAGGGCGAACTTCCCCGCGGCAGCTGATTGATTGGGACCAAGAAACGGCACTCTCCGCATACATGTCTGATCATGGCATGTTTCAACCAGTTCACGATACCTCGGCGAGAGTCATTATCATCACTGGGGCGACAGGGTACCTCGGGAAGGCACTCGTCGAGGCTTTGGCCGACGATCCGACAATAGACGAGATCCATTGTCTAGCAGTACGCAATGCCAGTTCGCGAGCAGAATTGAATCATATCAACAAGGTCATCGTCCACGAAGGCGACCTGGGCCAAGTACGACTCGGAATTTCTCAAGCTTTGATCGACGATCTTTTTGGGAGAGCCCATCTCGTCATACACAACGGTGCCGACACGTCGTACATGAAGACGTATCATTCCATGCGACAGAGCAACTACCAGACAACGAGAGATCTCATCGAATGGTGTGTGCCGAGAATGGTTCCGTTCCACTATATTTCGACAGCAGGTGTCGGATGCTACGCACCCGGCTCGTCACTTTGTGAGGCCTCGATGAGGTCGACACCGCCACCCCTCGTTGGTGATCTGACCGGCTACACAGCCTGCAAGTGGGCGAGCGAAGTGTTCCTTGAGAATGTAGTACGAAGATGTCCAGAATGGCCCGTCTACGTGCACCGGCCGACCCTTATTAGCCGCGACGATATCCCTCAGTTGGATGCAGTTCACAACATTTTGGGATTTGCCCGCAAGCTTGGTGCTGTGGCGTCAGCCGAGGGCGTGGCCAGCGGAGTCATGAATGTTGTAACTTTGGAGGCTGTCGTTACAGGCATCACAAAGTGTTTGGCGGTGCACAATCAAGACGGTGGCATTCATTTCGTCAACCACGCCGGCACGCTCGAGCTTCCGCTGAATGACATGCGCAAATGGGCACTGGAGAGGACGGCGGGCGGGGATGTCCGGCTTGCGGATGTCGAGCTCGCCGAAATCCACATCGATGAATGGATCCAGCGCGCCGTTGACCAGGGCATGCATCCTACTATGGCTGTACTACTGAGAACGTTCGCTCGGCACGGTGAAGTTGAGTTTCCAGTTGTTGTCACCAGTAATATTTGACGATAACAGCCTCGGCGGCAGCGACAGCCATGATGCACGTCCTGAACATATATAGAAAGGCCTTACTTGTAAATAGTAGATTAAGATCTAATAAACGAAGCTATTAGAAAGCCCTCTGAGATACAAGGTCAACTATGAGTAAAAGTCCTCTACTACTGCTTGTCCAGTCCCAACTCGAAGAAACTCTCAATCAAACTCAAAACAGCCAACGCAGCACCGTAAGTCATATCCACTTCATCATGCTCGGCCTCATCGGTAGGATTGTCGGTCAAAGGAGCGCCCTTGGGCGTGCAAAGCTGTGTGGTAGGCATTTCCTCAGGAAGGGGATGAAAAGGCAATCCGGTGGGCATGTCACCGTCCTTCTTCAAGGGTTTACCAATATCCTCAAACTCATTCTTCTCATCCTCATTTTTGGGAGCCTGCTTCAGCAAATCCAGCACAATGCTGTACGCTTCGTACTCCGGGTTACCATTTTGGAGACCCTGGAACATAACGTATACGGCTCGGATGACACTCTCGAGCGCACCGACAATCCACGCGTGGTGGGAAGAGGCGGCTTCTCCGACGAGGTAAAGCTGGCCAAACGAGTTGGGTTTGATGATTTCTTGCCACATATTGGAGAACTGGCCGGGACCGAAGTAAGCGAATGCACCTGACATGTGCTCGTCTCTGTACCAGTCGTAGCCGTGATGGTCGACATATTGTTCCTCAAGATGCTCAACCAACTTCTCAAAGGGAAAATCCTCTCTGGCGTGAAGTCGAGCCAGGTCATGAATGATCAGCCTCTTGAGCTCCTTGTCGTCGTGACCCGTGTTGTTGGAGCAAAGAGAGCCAATGCGTTGCGCATCCTGACCCCAGGTATACGAGCATAGAAGGACAGCTGGCATCTCAGGATCCCACTTATCCGGGCCCTCATTCGCCTCAATGTTGTATGAAGGATACACGCAGACTCGCAGGGGCAGGTCAGTTCGTGATATTCCACCCTTCTTGATGCCAAATGGCTCCTTCTGCCACCATGCAGTTCGGAATTTCATGCCAACCTTGGCAGAAGCACCGTACCCGAGAGCTCTTATGGCCTGCTTGGTGCCCCAGGATAGACCGGCATGGCGAAGATCCATACGTTGCAGGGCAGCAAGAGTGGTGCTGTTGAGGACAGCGAAATACTCCCTGTCCTTGGCCTCGACCTTGTGGGTCTTTGGATCAGTTCTGACGGTGTGAAGCTTCATCGCCGTAAACTGATTAGGTTTACGTAGCGGCACTTGGGCGTCGATCGATTGGACGCAGGTGTTGTACTCGATACGCTTCTTGGCCTTGACAGCCATCCTCTTTGCGATCTCTTGGGCACCACCGTCGACGCACCACCAATACTGGACATTCTTGGAATCGTCGGTGTGGAAGTCAAGTTCCTCCAGGACGCACTCCGTGAGGGATTGATCATACCAGCCGGTACCACTTCCAAAGATCAGCCATGAAGCAAAGCAGAGTGTCGCTGGGAAGAACCTACTAGGTCATGGTCTCAAGCCACTCGATAGTGTTAAAATTGTATCCAGGGCCCGAGGGGAAGGGATGCTTCTCGTCCTTCTTCCTAAGCACGTGCGGTTTACCTCTGGCAATATCGTCAGCTTCTGCCAAGGAACAAGCTTTCAAGAGCGAGTAACACTTACGAGCCGAGAAACTGTCGAACGCTCATATGGTCGGCTTTCATGAGCAGCTCCCATAGCTCCTGGGCCCTTGGGCTTCTCGCCGCACCCTTTTGTCCATCACTTTTCGTTCCCTGCTTACCTGCTTCCTTCTGCTCATTGTCCCTTTCCTCGATGGCCAACTTGAACTTCTTCTTGACCTCTTCCATGAAACCACCCAGGGCTTTACTGACGAGTGTGCTGGGGTCTTTCTGGAGGATACTAGGTATCAGTCAGCCAACGTTACTTTCTGGAGACAGTCGATTGCCATACTCACTCTTTTGGAATCTTTCCCTTGCAAGGCAAGCTCCTATTCACATGGTAAGGATCATCGGGATTCAGCTCACTGGCCCAAACGTTGCCTGTGTGACACACGTCATTGAAGGAGGAGGGGCATTTATTTAGCACGTCCCCCAGGTAATAAGGGATCAAGCCTGGCTTGCTCTCTTGCGTGAGCCCGATGTACTGGAAAAGTTGGAAAGTTCTGTAAACTTGGGTGAGCAAACACCCCACTACGTTCAACCTCTGGACTCACCTCTTCATGATGGAGTTGTTGGGAAATCGCATAGCACCGACATCATAGTAGTCGTGCTCCTCGTCAGAGAAGTGGTGAGTGTACAAACGTCCACCCAGTCTCTCCGTTCCCGCCGCTTCAAGAATGTCGTAGTTGATCTTGAGCTTCTTGCCCTTGAGATCAGGATGGTCATTGAGCCAGTCAAAGAGCAAAGCAGCAAACAAACCGGCCACACCGGCGCCGACAATTCCGACGTCAATCTGACCTTCCTTCCTAGGGATGTAGCCATCTCCAGTGATCTCCTTAGTAGCTTCTCTCAGCTGGCCTATGCCGACATGATCAGGGATAGCGACGTCGACGGCAGAGTCCTTGACGAGATCAATCGCGCCCTGGAAATCGTAATCCATGGTGGCCTTGGCGACATCACGAGCCCACATGTGCTTGTAGGACTTTGTCTTTTGATGGATTTCAATAAAAGGTTGTTCTGATGCCATGATGAGGTTTGGACGTGGGGAAATGGATAGAAAAATACGAAGTGATTGCTTGGAGGAATATTCATTCGACGAAGGAGAGTAAGATCTCTCTTAAATGGTCTGCGTCTAACTAGTAGACTTATGCGCGGCCTGTTAGTTATGCAATGGCATCTTGAGGTAGCTGATGTACTGTACCTAGGTGGATATCTAAACCTCATAGCTGCCACTACAGGTGCCGCTACAAATCTAGTCCTTACTACAAAATGTATGCCTGCAGAGAATGGCCCGTTCCAGACACGGCAAGAGCTGCCTATTGTGATTTTGGCCAGCTGACTTGAGACTTTGGATGCCCCCACAAGCGACTATCGGGCTGGCTGCTGAAAATCACGAGAGACGCCAACCTCTCATAGGGTGTTTCACTTCCTACCAAGCCGCGGTGGCTGACTGCAGAGAGCCTGCATGGCTCAAACTATCGATTCCCGTCACAATATTGTCCAAAACGGGAACTAGTTTCACAGTAAGTTTATAGTCAGCCAGCCACCATACCTGGGCCGCGGACGGGACGAACCTAAATTGATGATTTACGTGTATCCTTGCAATTTGCAGACATGGCGTTCGCTAAAGGGGGGAACTATCAGAAATACCGTATAGCGCTTTGGTCAGCGTGCTTGCGGCTGAATAATAGCTTCATGTGCCGAATGGTCTAGCACCGGAATGTAAGACAATTTTGTCATTAAATTGTTGTTACGGCTGAAGAATAGCTCCATGCACGGGAATGGTCTGGTCTGGCCTTGGGATATAAGACAACTTTGCCACAAAATTGTTTTTGCGGCTGAGTAATAGCTTCATGCACGGGAACGGTCTGGTCTGGGGATATAAGACAATTTGGTGGCAAAAGTGTTCTGTGGCTGGCTGATCTCAAAGCATCATAGCGGCACAACAGCTCGTTCTCGGCCCTGGGGTAAACGACGATCGGTGCATGTTACCTAGAATGATTTGTCCATTGTACCTCCCCCCGTGCTGTGCAACCATAAGAAACAAGTGCGTGTTCTGGACCAACGCCTCACAACCAAGGCAAAAGTAAACATCCTCACCTGATAGGCTACTATTGGAACGAGAGACGAACCTTGCTGAAACGAAAACGCCATTGACCAACAAGGATAAAAGTATATCAACTTTCTATCACGACTCACCGCATGAGGGATAAAGGGACAGCTATATCCCACATTGCTCAATTCAATTCAACCCAGCTCTATACTACCTCGATTAAATATTACGGTTGTATCCATTCTCAATCATGGCTCCATCTCTCGAAGAGCTTGCACCTGCTGCCCCCATCGTCAGTATTGACCTACCCAAGGCCTTCACCTACGGACCTACTCTCCTTCAGCCGCCTGTTCAGACGTCTGGTGAACCGTCCGAAAATGGTTCCCACACAGACGGCAGTGTCACCGACACTAAGGGCCCTCCACCTCCTTCACTAGATGCCTTGGAGAAGTTCACAGGCACCTTTCGAGGTTTTGGTTTCAATACTATCTTTCGGCCTTCCAGTCGACGAACCAAAACCACTTTCGACAAGAAGCCAACGGACAAGCATGACGACAACGTGCTCCAGCTCAATCTAACGGGAGAGACACAAGTGTTTGGGGATATTCTCAAGGAGGTACCCAACCGTGGCCTGTTCGACCAGGCTGACATCGACCTTACTGGCCTGCCGTACACGCAAACTATTGTTGATGCTATGCCGCCACGAGAAGGTGAACCTACACCCGCCAAGCCCCCAGTCATTCACTTTGAGCCCGGCCTTTGGATGCGGGTGCCTAAAGTTGAAGAGATGCCCAAGCTTCCCACCTCTTTCTGCCGTATGGGATCTATCCCTCATGGCACAACCATCAACGCCCAAGGATTCCAGCCCTCAGTCACGCATAGCGGTGCGCCCAACATTCCTAAAGTCGACATTACTCCAGTTCTGCTTCCTCTAGGCCCTGGCCCCCCAGAAATTGCCATCAAAAAGGCAAAGACCAGGTTCGAAAGTCAAACAGCAGATGATGACACCTCTCGTCGCCTTCCCCAAAACCTGGGTCCTTTCATGGCCAATGGTACCATCACACAGAAGATTCTTGACGATCCGAACACTATCCTGAGAGACGCCAACAAGGGAAAGGACATTATCGAGAACACCATGTTTGCGGTGTCGACAATTGCACCTGCTGGTACCTTTGGTGGTGGAACAACCAATATCGGTTTCAACATCGGCGCTGATGCAGGCTTGGGGGAAGCAAAGCCGAAGAACAACAGTGGCAACGCCAACGCTGTTGACGTGACGGCCCAGTACTGGGTCTCAAAGATCCGTACCGAGGTTGAGCTTGACCCGTCTATGCGTCATGGAGACACGGTTTCCCCAGTTGCCCGAGGTCCTAGAGACGCTGTGCCAGAGTTCTACCTTGATGAGAACGTTGATATCCCGCCTTATACGAAGACCATCACCGTAGCTTACTATCAGATCCAGTACTCCCAGATGGTCGTGCTTGATTTCAATAACCTCAAGTGGCCGCATGTCACTGTTGCGACACTTGCTCCAGTTGTCCATCTCGAGAAGCCGACACTTTCTTCTGCTATCAGCGAGGTAAACATGTAATCGAGATACGGCTATATCATGGATAACAGGATATTGCTGTTTTTTATCATGCTCTTGCTAAACTGTTATATCTATAGCTTAGTCTCTAATAAATTAAATAACCTATATAATATCTAAATCTTCTACTATATTTTAAAAGCTTAAAAGTATTTTTATTAATATTATTTTTTAAAATTCTTTTTTTATATTATATAAACTATTCCCCCCCTATAACCTATAATTTATATATATTAGTAGGCCTAGTAGATATAATTATTTAATCTAATTATAAAAGAGTAGTTTTATTACTATAAGTAAACCTATAATAGAGTATAACCTAGATCTATTAATTTTCTAAATAAGATTTTAATAGTTTTTTCTAATAACTATCTCTATATATAAGAGGATCTAGTTAGTTATAATAATCAGGCTTTATCTATAGGGGATAATAATATTAGATATACTTATTACTATATATAGTAATATATTTATTTATTTAGAAAGATATTATTAATTATAGATAATAAATATCTCTCTTTAAGGCCTATAGCTAAGTTATATACTTAGTAAGAGCTTTAAGTTTTTAATAAAGCTATTACCTTACTATAATATAGATAAAAAAGTAAAAAAAGAGTTAAAGGTTAGGTATAGACTAGAGATAAGTAAAAAACCAGTTATATATCTCTAGTACTTCCAGAGAGAATAATTATATAAATTACTATATATTTCTTCTTTAAGCTTAATACTTTTCTAATTTAAGAAAGAAGATATATTTATAGTAAACTAATTTTATTCTGACTAAGCGTATTATATTATATAATACAGCGGTTCTAATAAATATAGGCTCTGTAATTTACAGGTCAAAAGATATAAATATACCTCTTATATTAAGGAAGCTAATTAGGTTATATAACCGCACCTGTAACTAGAAATAACCCCTCCGGAGCCTCCGGAGGCCGTACAGATCAGTTAATTCAATCAACCTTCCTTGCGAGACCCCTGTGAATCCCTTGTAAGCCCGCTGTTGCAGGCTGTGTGTTCCAAAAACTCCTTCTCATACATAAGGTCAAGTCGTCTATCCCAGTCAATAAATTGGGAGAAGCCGTCGAACTTGGAAACATGCACGCTATTGACCAAGCGGGATTCTTTACCAATATTCTGAAAGTCTTCTGCGAGGCTACCTATTTCACCGCATCGCGAGCCCACAGATGAGATGGAATATGCCATGTTTCAGTGCTGGTGAGTCGGCCAGGCGCGTACGTTTGGCAATGATTTCATCCAATAGTTTCGAACGACGTCACTGGGGCTGTCACTCTCTTGGAAAGGTCATATGCATCCCACTGCATGGGAAAGGGTACGCTAGCAGAATTGGCGGATCGAACATACTAACGTGTATCAACTCTAGTCCCTTATGGATATCCATCTCGATGCGCACTTCGGGAAGCACCACCAAGCTAGCCTAGCCACTCGAGTGACCCCGGGGAGCCCCAGACCTCAGCACACCAGACTGCAGCCGTGGGCTGTCCTTGATCACTATCGATTGCTGCATTTGCCCCCTGCCCGGTCCCCGTCCCGTCACCCCAAGTCGTTAACGCTCCCCCGCTAAGCGCGCTTGCGGACGGCGCTGCTGATGAGAGCGCGGCATGCGATGCCGCCGTCAGACCGGCAGCGCCCGCCACCCCCGTAAGAGCTGATGACTCGCCCAGTTGCATCGCGAACTGCGTCGCCTTGTTCGACGAAGCCGCGAGCACCCTGCGGGTTCCCCACTTGAGGAAGTTCTGCTTCTTCCCGCTCGCCATGAGCTTGGACATGAACGGCCTCACGTACGGCCGCACTGCCATCCCAACCACCTCTCCGACCGCACCGCCCGTGGCCCAGACGGCGATATCCCAGCCGTCGATCTTCTCCTCCATCGAGACCGAGTACACTGCACCGGCGGCAATACCGGAGATGGCACCCGTGACGATAGGAGCCACCACCTCGGTGGCAACAGCACCCGCCAGTATCGCCATTCCGGAAGCCGTGCCTGCGGTAGCGAGGTTCACGGCACTCGCCATCGCGGCGCCGACGGCCGGGCCGGCGACCAAAGATACCGCTATGCCGGCCACAAAGCCCAATGTCATACTCGTCAACCGTCGCGCCGTGAACCACTCGTCCCTCCAATCGTGCCCGGAGGGGTCGGACCGGTTGACGGGATCTCCAGAGCAGTATGTATACCGGTTCTCCTGGCGCCGGCGGGAGTCCATGGATATGAAGGCCAGATTGCGGGGATTGTAGTATCGGGATCGAAAGTACACAAGGCCTGCGTCTGGATCGGAGAACTCCTGGACAAAGCCAAAGTGCGGGCCGCTCTTCTTGCTGCTGCCCTCGCTCCGGATCTTCTCGTCGCTGCGGACTAAGGGGTTCCCGTACGCATCGTAGGAGGCAGAGATATACCGAGGCGGCGAATCACCGCCTCCGGCTGGATCCTGCATGATCAAAGCCGTCGACCCCAGCTGCTTAAAGTAGTATTCTTTTCCTTGGGTGTTGCTGCGACTGGAGACCAGCCCCGAGTCCGGAGTGTAGAAGAAGGATGTGTCTCCGGCCCCGTCCTCCTTCTCAGGCTCTGTATCTCGTATGACGTTTATCTTACCCCGGGTGTAGTACATGTCGGCTTTCCCGGTGGTGGATCCCTCGCGGTGATTCTGAGACAGGAAGTTATCGGCATGGTAGGCAAATGAACTCTTTCCAGCACGTTGACTTCTCTCCACCGAGACAAGGCGATCGCGGTCGTCAAACCTGTAGTGGTTGCCCTGGCTGTCAACCACCATCCGGCCGTTCTTGTCATACTCGATTCCGGAATCCGTGCGCTGATCGATCTTATTGTACGTCATGGTCGTGAGATGGTCGTTCCGGCGCACCGAGATGACGTTCGAGTTGCCATCGTAGCTGTACGCCGTCACGCTCCAAGACGTGCCCGTCGTGGCGTCACGGATTTTCTCCTCTACCAGTTGGCCTAGACCGTCGTATGTAAATGCACGTTGTGTGTTGAGATCAGCTGACACTTCGGATCTGGAAGTCATTGCCATCACGCGGCCTTGTGCGTCGAGGGTGAGATCGGTATCGAGAAGCGTCTTGCTGCTGCTGGGGTCTCGTACCACTGTTCTCCTGACGCGTCCAAATCCATCGTATTCAAAGTCAGTCCTCAGTGGTGTCCGACCACCCGACAGAGTCGTTGCCAGAAGCAGTCCTTTGGTGTGGTTCACGTCGCCATACGAGTACTCAAGTGTATCGCCGCCGAACCTCTGGCTCGAGACTTCGCCGACGCTATCAAATGTTGTCTCCTGTGTGATTCCACAGGCATCTTTCTCGGAGATGACTCGACCGTGCTGATCCAAGGTGTAATTCTGGGCTCGGCCATCCCCGTACTTTACAACAAGGGGGACCGAGTCAAGCGAGTAGGTGTACTGGACAGAATTTCTCTCCCCTTCACTCAGACTTGTCAACCGCGCTCCGCTGTCATACGTGTACGTGGTCTGGCTATCCGGATAGGTGGTATCAAGGATCTGGCCTAGTGAGTCATGGTTGTAGCGTATCTCAGATCCATCCGTCCGGACCAGTTTACTGAGCCAGCCGTTTCTATCGTACATCTGCCGCTCCTCACGACCTTCCCGGTCTCGGAAGAGAATTGGGCGGTTCGCATTGTCAAAAATATGAACGCCGCCTTGATGACCAAGAAATTGACGTCCGTCAGAGTAGGTAACGTCCTTGACGTAGCTATACACGTTGCCAAACAGATCGTATTCGAAGCGGCGCCGCACAACATCAGGTCCCTTGTCCATGTACCCCGTGACAGTCTCTGACACCACGGCCTTCTCAGGGCCGTAGACCGTGACCGTGTCACTAATCATATCGGTGCTGCCCGCGGTGCCCGTATTACCAGTATCCTTGTACAGCTTACTACTGGTTTTGTTGCCGCGGCCATCGTAGGCGCTCTCTTCGACCAAACAGTGGTCCACATGTTTATCGCCCGAGTCGGCATATGTGACCTCTTCAATTACTTCTGAGCGAGCGTTGACCGTCCGCACCAGCCTTCTGTCTCCGTTAATACTCTGGGTTACCTTCGAGCCTCCATTTTCGTACTGGAAACGTACAACGTTGCCTTTGGGATCTGTCGTTGACAAGGGACGGTTCAGCTCGTCGTAGGTGTGACTCGTAACGAGGCTGTATCGGTCACGCATCTCGATCACCCTGGACAGAGCATCGTAGGTCTTGGTCCACAGGGTTCTCGGCTTGCTAGCACCTTCCGTCGGACCCGCATTATCGGTTGCCTCGACCTCGCGGTCAAGCATGTCTATCCTCACCGTCGTCACGTACCCGGTGGGCTTCGTGACCGTGACGAGGGTCCCTTGGGACTCGGTAGTTTCATACTTTATATCTGTCTGAAGGCCAGACGCGTCGATCTGCTTGGTGACCCGACCCATTGCGTCATGGGTGAATGACTCGGTCTGACCCATGGGCCATGTTCGGCGGGTCACGGGCCCTTGGGGCTTGGTCATGTTGCGTTCGACCTTCTCCGTCTCACCGAGTGCGTTGGTACGTGATTCGATGAGGATGCCATTCTGGTACTCGTAATCCGTTTTGGTCGTCGTGGAGGTAGCGCTGTCCGTGGGGACTGCAGCACCCTGGCTCCAGGCCAGCGATTCACTTGTGAGTCTTCCTTGCGCCGAGTATGAATACGATATGTGTTTCCAGGGCTTTAAAGAAGTGTCGCCGTCCGAGAACGACCGGAAGGCCTTGGTGATGGAAGATATGTTCTTCTCATCGGGCGTGAGAGTGTTTTCGGCAACCTCTTCGTAGTGCGCCACGTTGTCCCGTTGGGTTGTTCTCTTCACTATTTGTGTGTCCAAGGACGTGGTGTAGTACTCCTTCTCGACAGTCGACTGGAGCTCGTACCCTTTCTCGGCGTGCCATATTTCATCGCTGCAAGTGATTTGCCTGTAGAATCCGTTGTGTGTGGCCTTTGTGCGTCGGGAAGCCACCCATGCGCCCTGGGAGCGGTTGCAGACCTCAGTCTGCACTGGCAACTCATACGCGCTCGTCCGCGCGAATCTTTCGTAGTCAATCTTGTAAGTGTAGACAGCCTTGTGAGTTTCGGTAAATCCGCCTTCGTCATCTGGTGCCAGGACCATCTCTTCCATCGGCAGATGCAGGTTGTTGTACCAGGTGCGCATCCGCATCATGGGCTTCTTATCTCCGTCTGAGACCGTCTTTACAACATCGTATCTGTAGGGGCGAGCTTAGTTGGAATTATGCCATCAATCACGGCGGGAATTGTACAACTACTCACTTGTACGTCGCTGTACGGGGTCCGCTGTCCATTAGAGGATCGCCATTGCCACCCATCCGCAACCCCAACACTGCCCCAGTGAAGGTAGCGTTGCTCCCTGACCCATAGCCGTAGCGGACATGTCGGACGGTATTGCCGCTTGAGCTGTGGACTTGATAATGTTCCTGTACAGCCGCCATGTTGTGACGGGTGCCGTCAGAGGCAATATACGGTATGCCAGCATACCCGTAACGCGAGCGCAGCCCGTTGGAATATCGGACACTTGACACGACGCGGTGGCTTTTCTCGAATATGGTGTATTCAAAGGTCGTCTTCAGACCCTCGGCGTTGGTCACAGACGTGACACCCCCAGCAGCATCTGAGAAGGTGATCTTGGTTTTCCCACCGTCAGGGCTTGTAATGACAAGGCTGGACCCCGGCTGATGACCAAAGGCTATCTGCTGGCCCCACGAATCCTCGACCGACCTTAGCCAGAGGCCGGGAGCGTCGACGCCGCCCGTTAGGTCGTTGACATACGTCAGGTGGAAGTGGTTGCCGTACAGGTCATGTCGTTCTCTGGGCTTGCCCGCTTCGTCGAGATAGTCGCAGGAGCCGTCCGAGTTCTGGAGTTTCCACCCGTACAGCCCTTTCTTCCCCGAGGGTAGTGGCTGAGGCGGGATGATCTTCTTCAAGACAATATCGTGGTTGTTGACGTAGCGCAACCCCGACTTGTGGCCCTCGGAGTCTGACCAGGCCAGGTCCACCACGTATGTGCGGCCCTTTGTGGTGAGACTCTTGCCCTGGCAGACGTAGGGAAGGTCGAGGCCCCAGTTTCTTGGTAGCCCAAACGTGCCAAGGCTCCCGGAGCTGTAGAGTAGGTTGAGGCTAAAGTCCACAGCTGGTTGGACTCCTGGGATATCCAAGAGTGGCGCTCGGATGGTCAGGGATCCCGTATTGGGGTTCACCGATTCTTGATACGAATGTTTGGTGCGGGTGAAGGCGTGAGATCCTCGATACTGACCAGATGCCATAATGGGGAGAGTTTTTAAAATGTTTCAAATTGCGTTGGTTGATTGAATTGGGACTATGCAAATAGGTACCCTTCGCTTTCTCTACGTTTCCGTGTGGGAAGACCGGTTGTATGAGACGGCTGAGGATCAGAATCTTGAACTGATTGCAAGTTCCCGTCAAGCAAGCATGATATTCTCATCCACGACTATTGTGCTCGAAGCCAAGGCAGCGCAAGTATCAGACCCGGAGGTGCCACGTCACCTCACGTCATGTTCACACATGAGTTGGTTTCCGCAAAGGTCGTATATGCAATCACAATTCTCAAATCGTGATTTCCTGCATAATATTAGTCCATAAAAGGAACCTATTTTCCCCGTCTGTAACTCATGGCAATCTAAGTATTCTTATCAGATCCTTGTTAAGGTGGCAAGGGAAAAAGCTAGAACTGCTAATATGAGCCAATGAATCGGAAGAGATCCTCACTATAACGAGCGAATCAGGAGTTATCGTACCGCACTAGACAAGTGATCACTGCGACGTGTACTGCATGTCTTTTTGACGCGAACTATAGACCAATAAAGCCCAAGCCTACCTATGCATTATTGAGATCTGCAGGACAAATGCTAAGCGCCCTTGCCGATGTTACTCAGCTAATGCCTGGCTGCATCGGACGTGCCTTAGTCGATCCACTCGAGGCCGCAGCTAAGGCCGGACCGACTGGCACGGACCGTTCCTTGTCTACATCTGGCTAAGCTTGACAGACTGATGACAAGCTGAATCTTTATCTGGCTACGTCTTACAGACTGATGGCAAGCTGAATCTTTATCTGGCTAAGTCTTACAGACTGATGGCAAGCTGAATCTCTATCTGGCTAAGTCTTACAGACTGATACAAGCTGAATGTCCCTGCTGCATCTCTTATTGTCTGGATTTATAGACCAATTAGGCCTGAGCACATCTACTTTGATCGGATAAAAAGGTAGACGCCCTCGCCGATGTTGTTCAGCTAATGCGTAGCCACATCAGAAGTGTCTTTGTCGATCGACCAAAGGCCGCAGCGGAGGTCGGGCCCAACGTCACAGATTGTTGATCGTCCCCATCTGGTTAAGCCTAATGGACTAGTAGCAAGCTGAACAGGCGCGATACCCACGAACCTTGGGATCTTACACTCTTGGTGGCTAAATAGTCTTTCTCGATTCTGAGACGCTCGAATGTCCAGCCGGGATCCCTCCGAGCCTGGCCTTATCTCGCAGCATGCGGGTTAGGTCATTGCGTCATGTATCATTGCCTTCAGCTTATATACGGCTGCGACTTTTACCGTATATAGTAATATACTCGCGGAACCATCTTTCCAAATCGTGGGTCTACCCCATCTGCCAAGACTTGGACTAGTTTCGTGAGTAGATACGGCATCATGTCGCCCTTTACATAGCAGGTGCCGATCTGAGGTAGCGACTGCCCCCTGTACATAGTATCCACCGCGACAACAAAAGCTCAAAGAGACAAGAGAGATTATACCTTTGTTAGAGTGTTCAATGCCGAGCTTCCGGTTTGTGAAATACTCAACAGGATCCTCCATAGAGGTAGACACGAACGAAACGAAACGAAACTCAGCCAACCCGACCGTTCAGAGAAAGTCCCAGCCATCCAGACCACTATTTTGCTATTCTGCTCCTCTTTGAAATTCCTCATCTTCACTCTGATCACCATGAAGATCGATACCGTCTGCACCCTATTCGGACTCTCTGCGTGCGCCATGGCCGTCAGCACGAATAATAATTTTGGTATGTCAGGCGTCATGCGCCCCCTCTTCCATCCCATATTCGACTGGTCTAACCAGCCTCTTCATCGTCTTCAACAGGGTCCAACGTGTACGCCTGTATCAGTATGGACACCGAACCAACGGACCCTTTCATAGTAGATTGGAAGATCGGCGCCACTGGGGATCAGTGCATGAAAGACAAGGGCAAGGCTGGGGAGATGAAAGTCTCCGAACAAGGCATAACATGTCGCGACTTAGGCTGGGTGTCTATCAATGATGACTTCTTCAGCTGCGGCTGGTATGAGAGCTGGTGGACGCTCGCCTATACGACCAGGAAGGCGAGTTACTCTGGTACAGCACAGAGCCGGTGGAAGTACTGGGGAAGCCTTAAGACTGTGATGCTCGGCAAACGATCCCCGGGCACTCAACTCTGTGGGAGCAAAGCTCTATGCCCAACCGACAAGATTGAGTGGAGTGGAACCAGCAAGGGCCTTTACGTGAGTAGGCGAGAGCAGCAATGACTATCTTGAGCCATGCCTATTGTATACTGACCTCGAGAATCTGCAGTTCATCTTTGAGCCCCTCAAGATCGCTTCTCAGGTTAGCAACCACAACGAGACAGCCGACAGTGAGCTGTGAGCTGTGAGTATGGGAAGATCCTCGGAAAGCTATCCAGAGATCTGATGGACTGAGCTGGACTTCGGCTTCTTTGCAAGCACTGATGTCACCCACTTTCAGCCTTAGGGAGTCCTTTCGGTTTTCAACAGCCTTCAGTCTGTCGTGATGATGATGAACCATTGTTCCCATGCGGTTCGGAGAACATAGGTGAATAGGACGAAGCTTATTTCCGAGTTCCCAGCCAAGCTTGGTAATCTCGATGATTGTATTTAATCATAACTCGTGAATCTCTCCGTAGTATGACGGCTCATACATTGTGAATTACATGAACTAGTAATCTACCACAACAATATCCCCCGAATCCTGGTAGTCGTGACCACTTCAGCCGCGTTACCTACTCAGTAAATTCGCCAGAATCTATATCAACGTATACGTATATCCGAGGAGGCCGAGTATCCTGGAAGAGATGGGCACAGTGGCCGTCGCACACGCTCCCAAAGCACATGCTTAACTCCTCCCAAGGGTGTCGTTGGAACCTCATGTGTCAAAGCCCCATGCACCCTCAACGCTATCGAAGGAGAGTACCGGTCCATCAAGTCTAGTGTTTTCTCCATCGGCTAGTTAGAAGGCGTGTGGAATTTCCTGCTTACCGCTCGAAGCGCCGCCCCTCTTGGGGACTGACCACGGAAGTCGAACCTCTGGGGCATGGCACTCATGATGCTCCGAGCTGGAACCACCGTATCTCAGTGCATTGCATCCTGTACCTTATCATTAGCGGCTGATACGATCCCGTCGATCATGTCGTCATGATTCAATAGCTCAGGTTGCAATGTGGGATGACCTTTGGAAACCACGAACCATTGGACGGCGTCGCAGCATTTAGTAAAGGTACTAAGGCAATGTAACAATTGCGGTCTATATGCATCCTGCAGAATCTATCACCCTGCATAGCATGGGCGATCCCACGTACGTCAATATCAGCGGTAGTCTTAGAGACCCGACTACTCATATGCTGTAGTTGGTCAAGGCTTAGGCTGGAATCTGGTGGCCTGGCCCACCAGGCGGCCGAACCAGGATGAGCTTTTGTGAGAGTTCCTCATCCCGAGCGAATGAGGTATTTTTGCATCCCTTTGCATCTCATATAGAGCATAGATTCAAGGGCTCCACCGTGGGCACTGGGCACTGGACACTGGGGAGGAGAGTGGCCCGCTCATGGGGGTAACCGTGTAAGACATGCCGCCCGCTATTCTTTGCCCGGCATTGGTGACATTTGGATGTGATTGCATGTAACTGCTAGGATCACTGTCAGTGTGTAGAGTCAGACTGACAAGGTTGGGTTGTCGTGAGTCTGACATGTATTGAGTGCGGTGACGAGACAATAGTATATCATGGTCGTAGCGACACTTGGCTCCTACATGGTCCCAAGCAAGTTGTCGATTATACACCAGGCTTCTACATCAATCTTTCCTACCATAACCTCTCCTGACGCTATGGCGACATCAAAAAGTCAAGTCGGCCCCAAGGCGTTGAACAGAGCGACTCAAGACTTTGGCTGCTACATCACAATAGTCAACCATACAGAACACGACTTTCTACTGGATCGTGACGGGATTGTCGACGGATGGGGTGAATGGCCATTGACGCAGCCCGTCAATAATATCAAGGCGGGAGCCGCGAAGACAGTTCAGCTAGATAACAAATTCGGTACGTACGAGGAAGCACGCCATCATCCTATCCCCGGATTAGGGTGGCTAACGTTTGTGTTCGCGCAGACCTATCAGGATCCGCAGGCTGGGTCGAGTACGAAGTTGACACGAATGAAAAGCTTGAAAGATTCCGGGTTGATTTTGACTGTCCCTATGCGTTCTGGAAAAAGAACCGAGTGGAGGCAACATGTTCAACCGGTGGCTTATCCATTAAAAAGGGCTGGTACCCGACCAACGGGCACCCATTACAGTGTAAGTCTTGTCTCTACCATTGCAATATCATGCGATGGGCGGTATTATTCGTCAGCCGGGAACCGCTTTCGACTTATCTGACATGTCCAATTCAATAGGCACTGTCACTATTGGCCTGGTTGAGAGTGAGGATCCCAAAACGTCCTCTGCGCCCGAGACGAGTACTAGTCCAGCGTTGTCCATGACTCGGGAGGAGTCGCCCGTGAAAGCCAAGTACGAGTTTGGCTTCCGAGCTCCAGCAGGGATATACGAGTCATCGCCAATGCACGAGTGCATTGCGATTGCAGCCTTTATTCTCTCCAAGAAGCGGATGGCCAAGGCAACGGTCCCCAACAACATCTCCCCCGAAGAGTGGGAATACTTCCGCGGTATCCTCTGGCCCGACGACCCAAATTGCCTCCTGTTCAACGACAGATTGGATGATAACCGGGCATACGGGATAGGACTCGAGTGGCTCAAAGAGTTCAAGATGGGCGCATCGTGGACCATGACGCGGCGCTCCCATTTCGGCGATCTGCAAGGCTTGCACTCCATGGCCAGCACAGTCGGCGAGCAGCCTGAAGTGACACGCGAGCGGATCCTGCATTGGATGGGCGTCATGTACAGGTTGGCGGTGGGCGAGGGGGATATCTCAGAGGATGACAGCGTGACGAAGCATTTTCCACCTTCTGTCTTTGGGCCAACCTGGGCATCTACCTCCCTACGGTCTCTCCTTCTTGCTACGACTCCCAGCTATCAGGATGTTGACATCTGCCGCCGAGCTCTCGGGGTCTGTCTGCATCTCATCCAGGACTCATACGCCATTGGCCATGTCCAGAGGCAACTGCGCAACCCGAAGGACAAGCTCGGCCGTGGACCCGACGGCTTCATCCACTTTCGACCCGGCACGCACGGGGACTGGGGCGATATCCAGTGCTTCCACACGTACCTCGGCCAGAATGAGTTCCGGCACAAGCACTACGACGGTGTCCCCAAGGATTACGGTGTCCCAAGCCCCCGTGATCTGTCCACCTTTGACCCAGTCATAGGTGCTAGGTCGGCTATTGCGGGCTGTCTGACCCTGATCAACCTCTTTGCTGACGACACCCCGTGGGAAAAGGTGAGAGACATCCTTACGACGGGGATATACAAGCTGCATCCCGACGCAAGGCCGTCTGATACTGATGTTGACACGCGCGACCTGCCTTCGGAGCTGTCTTATGCTGAAAGCTGTGCCATGGAAAAGGGACTAGGTGCTAACAGTGGCGATGCACCGATCATTCGGGACCGAAAGATACTCGAGGTAGAGGAGCATGGCACCGTGGTTTCTTGGGGGACACCGTCGCCCTCTTATGGGAGGAGCACGGGCAGGATTGCCTCCAATCGCACGGCTATCATCTTGGCAGTGATGCTCACTTTAGGTTTTGGCTTTGGGGCCATCATCACACGCAGCCTCAATTGGGTCGGGCAAAGATATATTACTGCGTATTCACAGGTTCACGGTAGCATAGCATATTAAAGTAACAACTAGAAGTTGCATAGATCTCTCCAGATCGGTAAATAAAGCTGGCAGCTAGGACCGGAACAAGGTACAGATTCTCTTTTCTCCATGATTAGAGAAGATTCCCCCTTGATCAAACATAGACCTCAGAAAACAAAGACATTCTTGGAGCCGGGAGGGCTGAATGATCCGAAGATGATTATGTGCAATCCCTCGACAAAATTTAAGTGTTTGGCCGAGCCAATCGCTACATCTCGCCACAGGGCATTCGCAAGGACGAAATTTAGTGGCTGTTCCGTGTGCTGCTCTGCGAGCAGCCTGTTCTTGAGCGATCTGGAATCGGACGCCCCGAAGTCCTGTAAAAAGCTAGTGTCCCGCTGTAGAGAGCCTAGGTATAGGAGTCGATTATGAAGACTACCAGCTCGTAGGAACGGCCTTTTGCACGACTCTTACCCGGGTTTCCGCTCGGGCTCACTCGACATCGATTTGAAGAAACATACATATATGGGATTTCAAGCGCGGCCGTAAGGTCAGGCGTTGAATACCTTGCTACCGCGGCGAGGTACCAAGCTGGCACCCACCCTTCCCCAAAACATCCCCTGCAGCTCTCGTCGACGGCTCGAAAGAATGACTACCAAGAAATATCTCCAGTCTGAAATATTCAGATGATAATGATTAAACAATTTCGAGCAGTTTATTCGTGCAAAGGCCGTTACGATGTAGCATTCTACGGGCATAGATATTGCGCACGCTGTCGAACTCGCTACCCTGGCCGCTGCAACCCATCTTCCTCCATTCGTTTGCATTATCCACGGTTCGCTAATTAGCCAACCTGACATGTCCGTCAGCTTCGTCCATGTCTCAGACAAAAGAATGCGAAGCGCATACCGCCAAAGTTAACAGCTCGAATCTTGTTGATTCTTCTAGGTAAAGAAGACTCCCGTCTCTTCCCAATCTTTTCATATTGAGCTGTCGTATTGAAAGCTGCGAGCTCTTTATCCCGTGGAAGCCATGCTGAGGTACTTTTCTGGGCGGTTGATATCGTCACCACGATGGTGTCCCACGTTGGCGCTCATCATTCAATGCAGGGTAGGGAACGCTGACAGAAATAGTGGTAGATCTTTCACTCTTCCAGCCTGTTTCAGTGGACCGATCCTTCTGCGAGCGAATAACCCGCGTCTGAATCACGAAAATGATGAGGGAGGGAGGGAATCACGCAGGGGAACGCAGGGGAGAGCGGGAATCTGACGGGGAGGGCGGACTTTCATAGTTCTTTCCTCCGCAGGAATCTCGACTTGCCGACATAATGCCCTCCCTCGCACAATTATGTACAGTGGAAATAAACAAGTATTTGCCCCCTGTTAAGTATTGGATTTCGCACTAATGTGTTTGAGCTCTAATATTTTTCTGCTGTTTTTTTATCACCCCTATTGGAATAAATAACATAATTAAGTAGGTATCTTGCGCGTCACCAACTCTTTAGTACTAGCCTTGCGGTGCATCTCGCTCTCGACAGCGTCGGCTGAAGGCACAGGCGCAGCAGGCCGTGGTCTGTTTCTCCTACTCTACGCTAGTCTGCCATGAGAAAACTGACCAATTGCCCGGCTGTGATCAAAAAATGAGACGTAGCACTGGCGTCAATCATTCGATTGCCTACGGAGAAGCTGGATCACAGCGTAGAAAATAGAAGGCAGCTTGACGGACAAGTGATTCTCCCTCGTGTGGGGCTATACTCTTCGTCGTATTCGTATAGGATGGAAAGTTTTCAGTACCCGAGCTGGTAGGATCATCGTTCATTAGTCAAGCTTCATTTATCGGCAATGAAGCTGTCCCCGAGTTACCGAAGGTTTCAATGCACATATATACGGAGTACTGATGGGGTCTCAAGACCGACCCTCGACCTAAACACCGACCCCATCAATAGTACGACCTTGACATAGAAAGGGCTTTACGGCGGTAATGCAACCGTAAGCACCCTTGTATTTTCCTTCTGTAGTGCGGATCGGGTTGCCGGATTTTCTAACTCACCGTTTAGATTTAGATCGTCATAGCTGGAGAATAGACAGCAATAGAGTCATACAACTTGAGCAATTATCGCTATTAATTCAAGTATAGACAGTTATTAATATAAATTCCGTATCAATGGGCCTTCATTTATCAGTCTAGTCGAATGCATTGAATTGTGTCTACTGGTATTGCTCCGCCCATCACTCAGTTATATGGGAGATATCATTCATCACATCTCGAGCGACTATAAGATTTGAATGATCTCCCGCCGGTTCGAACCGCTATCCTAGGCTAGTAGCGTGGGGAATCCACAGGGTTCGGTTTCAAATACCAATACTACGCAATTCCTGGATGTTCCGTATATATAGCTCATAGCTATATCTGTGCACCTCAGTATCTCCTGCGAAGCTAAGTGTGTACCCTCTCTCTATATAGAGGAATACCGCTTTCCTTCTCCAGTAGTTTGGGCTCAATATTCATATTAAACAGATATCAGACTCTTGTCTTTGCAATGGCTATGCTTTGGATCATTCCCGCCGCCGTGAGTATCTTCCAACTCGGGCCTCCTGAACATGGCTAATAGACGCGAGCAGATCTTGGCCTACATACTTGGTTGCATGCTCTACAATGTTTTCTTCCATCCCCTTCGACATTATCCCGGCCCAAAATGGGCAGCCGCCACAAGTATACCTTATGCGCAGCTTATCATCAGTGGCCAAGCTCATCGCAGGGTGGCTGATCTGCACTCCAAGTATGGAAATGTTGTTCGAATTGCTCCTAATGAGCTTAGCTACACGAATGTTGAGGCGTGGAACGACATTTTCGGTCACAGGAAGGCAAGCCAAGAAGAGCATATTAAAGACCCTGTCTTCACAGCTCCCTTCAAAGGCAACATTATCGGCGCCGACCGCAATGATCATCGTAGAATGCGCCGCATCTTGTCTCACGCCTTTTCTGCATCAACTATGCTCGAGCAGCAGCCCCTTATCAATAAGTACATTGACCTGCTAATTCAGCGCCTCCATGAGAACTCATCGAGTGGCACTAGAGCAGTAGATGTCGTGGCTTGGTACAACTACACCACATTTGACATCATTGGCGACTTGGCTTTTGGAGAGCCCTTTGGATGCCTGGAGAATAGCGCGGCCCACGCGTGGGTAGATATGATTTTTGCACTCGTCAAGATCAATGCATTTTCCGGTCTGATCGGCCGATACCCTCTGATCGCAGCGTTTCTGCAATACTGCATACCAGCTGGCGTTCGTCGCAAAGCTGACATGCTTACCGAGATGGCGCGGACCAAGGTTGAGAAACGTCTGGCGCTCAATACAGATAGACCCGACTTTATCAGAAACATGCTTTCAAAAGGGGACTTGGTGAGTGGTCTGAATGTATATTCAAGAGCACTTTATGGCGGCCACTGACGAACCAGAGCATGACGCACGAAGAGATCCATGACAACGCAAGACTGCTTATCGGCGCCGGGTCAGAGACAACAGCCACAGCTTTATCAGCAGCGACATACTTCTTGGGGAGCCATCCACATGTCTTAGCCAAGCTTACTGAAGAGGTCAGATCCTCTTTCAGCAGCGAGCAGGAGATCGATGTCGTCAATGTGCAGAAGTTGACCTACATGCTGGCTGTATTGGACGAAAGCCTGCGCCTGCACCCGCCTTCCCCCATCGCCAACTTGCGTCGAGTGGCCACTGGGGGCGCCACCATTTGCGGACAATTCGTGCCCCATGGGGTGAGTGAAAAGCTGGTGAGGCTGAAATGCAAGCTGACAGACGCGGTAGACAAGCATCGGTGTCTGGCACTGGGCCATGTTCCGTAACCCGGAAAACTTTACTCTTCCTGAGTCTTTCATCCCCGAACGATGGTTGGGTGATCGACGCTTCCTGGGTGACAAGAAGGAAGCGCTGCAGCCTTTCTCGTACGGCCCGCGCAACTGCATTGGAAAGAAGTAAGTGAAAGACACATGCTCTATCATCTCAGGACTGACAGATATACAGCCTCGCTTATGTTGAAATGAGGGTCATTCTAGCCCGAATTATTTGGAACTTTGATCTAGTCATGGCCCACGATTCACAAAACTGGATGAATAAGGAGGAGGTCTATACCTTGTGGATGAAAGGCCCTCTCAACTTTTACCTAAAGCCACGAAACCGGGTGCAGTCTTGATTCAGGCTTCATGGATTGTTACGTTGCTGACACTGGTGTTCGCCACGTTCTAATTAGAACAAGCGATCAGAATCAGGCTTTTCGATCGTAAAGATGTAAGACCCGGAAGGAGTTTCATGATATTATTGAATTCGAACTTTAGTTCTTTTAAAATACTCTACACCGTGGAACACATGGACTTAATCCCAGTTAGTAGATGGTGGAGGTCCCCAGATTCCTCCAGGTGTATGCGCCTGACGACACGTTGGCGTATCTTCGTTGGCTACATGGCTGTCACTGTAGTGTTCAATAAAAAAGCCAGAAGTATCAGTCCAATAGTCAAAGACCTGGGGGGGTATAACGTGCTTCCCCACTCCTCACATCTGCTTGTAGCCCTTTTCAACAAGCCACTGATGCCCCATTATTTGTGTATCAATATCTTCCACTTTAAAATATGAGTGGTGGGTCGATGTGCCTGTCTTGTCGGGCTGCTGTGCTGCCAGCAGAAGGCGATGATGATTAGAATACTCACGACCAAGATCGAGGTAGAAGCGTTTTCTTTATAATATCTGACATAATCGGTAATATTTCAATTTACTCCTATTTACTCAGTAAGATACCTTATGTACCTAGACGACATGTAGTGATGAGCGGGGCTAACTGATGCATCCGTAACCCGAGGCTTGTCTTTGTTACCACCAAACCTCGACAATTGGTCGCCAATAAAGCGTGATATTCTTTAACCGATGCTGCCAAACGCTAAGTCATTCAACACCGATAGCTTCCAGCCTGTACGAGTTATAAAGCTGAGCGCCACCGAACCATCTCTTTATCTTATAGTTGGTGTAGATAGATTGTCACGTTGTCAAGCGGCGCACACACCGCTCACGGCTATCCTGGATAGGATGACCGGATACGCGATGGTTCCCTCCGGATAGCCCGATGCGTGTTTCTTAAATTCAGGGTCAGAAAATGCTTTGCGAAATGCCTCGGTAGATTCCCAGACAGCGATATTGACGAAAATGTTGCCTTCTGGGCCCACGGATCGATGAAGCTGCCCTGATAACATGCTATACTGAGACTTCATGTGATTCCCATCGCGCGCCCAGTTTGCGAGGTATTCTTCTTCGTCCTTATGAGACCTGAGGACAAAAGTGTTGACAAAGACGGCGGGACTCGCATCCGTTTCTAGTTGACTCAGGAAAGGAGTGGAAGTCCCGGGGACATCGAGGAGGGTTAAGTTTAAAGTTATTTTTGAGTGTTAGATATATATTTATCCGCCCGATGACTATAGTCCGAGATTAGAGCTCAATTTATAATATAGATATTCAGATAGAAAAACTTAGCTTAGACTTAGGAGAAAAAATCTTACTAAATTTATATTTTAAAATTTTAATAAATCTATTAAAAAATCTATATTTTAAATCTTCTTTCTATATATTTTTAAGATTTTTCCTTATTTAGTTATTTAAGTTTAAAGGATTACCTATTTAGAAATAATATAGAATAATAAGAAGATTTCCTAATTAGGAATAATATTAGTAGTAAAAATATCTAATTAAGTATAGACTTTATTTAGATAAATACTCTAATCTAAAATCTTACCCTCTCTCTCTTTTAATTCTTAATTATAATATATAGTAAAAAATATCTATAAGTATAATTTATAGTAAAATAATTAATTTATCTTTCTATCTAACTATAAGGTTTATCTAACTATAAGGTTTATAAATACTCTTACTTAAAGCTTTAAGATAAGGATAAGGAGATATTAAAAGATAGAGAGAAGTTTAAAGAGTAGCTCTTTAGAGAGCTAGAAGTAAAGAAAAATATTAATAACTAGAGAGATTACTTTTAGAAGATTATTAAGGGCTATCTGTACTATTTTATACTAAGGGAGATCTTAGGTAAATCTAAATTCCTTTTAAATCTATATAGAATAGATATATATAATATATTAAAGGAGTAAAAGATTAATTATTAGTTTTTAATTAATATAATTAAATTCCTTTATTTTATATTAGAATTATATATTAAATTAGACTTTATTAAATTTAATATAAAAAGTATTAAAATATATATAAATTATAATTATTAGCTATTTTAATATATAGAAAATAGAATAAAAGGCTTTATATATAGAAATACTATTAATTTATATATTAAGATTATACTAAAAAAAAGAAGGTTTAAAAATAAGAATAAGGAAGAATATATAAGTATATAGCTCTATATATAGCCTTACTTAGTATAAGGTAGGTAAAAATATTATAGCTATTTAGTTTTAATAAAGATATAGTAGAGAAAATAAATAATATAAAATACTACTCTCTCTTTTAATCCCTAATTATAATATATAGTAAAAAATATCTATAAGTATAATATATAGTAAAATAATTAACTTTTACCTTTCTATCTAATTATAAGGTTTATAAATACTTTTATCTAAAAACTTATTACCCTTTTATTTAATTCTTAATTATAATATATAATAAAAAATATCTAGAAGTAAAATATATAGTAAAATAACTAATTTTTATCTTTCTATTTAACTATAAGGTTTATAAATATTCTTACTTAAAAACTTATTACTTTCTTACTTAATTTCTAATTATAATATATAATAAAAAATATCTATATATATAATATATAGTAAAAATAGTAACTTTACTTTTCTACTAAAGCTTATATAGATTAATAATTATAATATAATATTAGATATAGAGAGGAATTATAATTAAACTATATAGTTAAAACTAATAACTATAATTAATTAATTTATATTTAGTATTTAGTTAGGAATACCTATTATTAATTAATTAAATTAGACTATCCTAGTTTTTATATAAACTAAATTAGTAGTAAAATAATTTTATAGAGAATAATAAAGTAAGTACTAACTAAATAGGAGTATAATAAAGTAGAGATAAAAGATCTAGGTTTTATAAGTTATACTACTTAGTAGTCTAGTTAAAAGGAACTATTTTTTATAGTATAAAGAGAAATATATACTTTTTTCCTTTATCTAATTAAGATCTTACCTTATAACTATTAAAGTAAATTAATTAATTAATTATAAAGTTTTATAAAATATCTATTTAATTATAACTACTTATAGTTTTAAGAGGTACTATAATAAGTAATTAAAATACTTTCTTTATAAGAGATCCCTTTCTTCTTAATCTATTTAATTACTTAAGATAAGGGAGGTCTTTATATAATAAATCTAACTATAGGTAATAAAACTAGTAACTAAATATAAAGACTACTATATATTATATACCCTTATATTATATAGTTATAGGTATTATATATATATATAGCTTCCTCTCTTACTACTTTAATTAAACCTATAGGATAGTAACTCTTAATAATATCTATTAAACTTCTATAGTAAGCTTATTAAACTCTATACTAGTTAAACTAATAAAGCTTAATTAATTTACTATATAGAATAAATATATATCTATAGATCTATTTCTAATCCTTATTAATTTCTAATTATAAATATAAGAAATACTTATTCCCTATTTATAATTAAATTTTCCTTATATAGAGTAAATATATTATAAATATAGGATTAAGTAATTAAACTATTACTAATCTTAGTATTACTATATAATAAATAATAAGTTAGAGATTATAATTTTAAGATCTTATATATAGCTTATAAACCTTAATAATTAAAGGAATTTATATACTCTTATTATATAATCTTACTTTCTTATTAATAAAAGACTTATATTTATAATATCTAGTTTACTAATTATATATAGCTATAGTCTAATAAATCCTATATATTAATATACTTAAGTTCTAAATATCCTATTAAGCTTATACTTATTATTAAATCTTAGTAAGTATACTTTAAATTTATAAATATATATATAATAAGTATTTTATTTAAAAAGAATAATAAAATACTAAAAAGATAGTAATTAATAGTAGTAATAATACTATATATAGTCTATATTATAATTCTACTAGATCTTAATTAGTCTAGCTATTTATCTACTAAGTTTTATATCTAGTAATAATAGTAATACTATATATAATCTATATTATAATTCTATTAGATCTTAACTAATCTAATTACTTTTCTAGTAATTTAGAAGTAATAGTAATAGTAATTTTAATAGATTTTAATTAGTTTAACTATTTCTCTATAATTAGCTTTATATTCTTAGCTATATAGCTATTATTACTACTAAACTAGTACTAATACCTATACTAAGCTTATAGTTAAAATAGAATAATTATTATAGATATAAATAACTCTATACTAGCTATAAAACTATTAACTAGTATATATAATTATTAGAATACTAATCTATTCTTTATAATAATACTATTTATTTCTTATTCTAAGATATATATAATATATATCTAATTATCCTATAAAAATAAATTAATCTCTATTACCTATTCCTATAATATTCTAATAATAGTATAAATAGGGTTTTTTTAAACTTAAAGTTCTCTTAAGTTTATATTAGTATTAGACTTTTTAATAGTCTTTTTAAATAATATAAATATTAGGAGGTTAATATATATTCCTATTAGTATAGTAAGATTATACCTATTCTTTTTACTATTAACTATATTCCTCTGCTTTCTAATAGCTACTTTTAGCTCTATATTTTTATTATAGTTTATAATTTTTAGAATCTCTTTCTTAGTTAGATATTAATCTCTATATAGTCTAAGTACCTTCTAAATCTAGATATAGAGAGCTATATTTACTATATATTATTTAAAGAGGTAGAGTTTAGATTTATTAGTCTTATCCTAGAAGATCCTCTAGAGTATAATAACTTATAAAAATAAGTTTATTCCCCTCAGGGTATTTTAAGTATAGTTTAGATTCTAAGTTATAATATTCTAATACTTCTTATTATAAGCTTATAAGTAATTATAAAGTAACTTATATATATTAGTAATATTATACTCTAATTTAATAAAATAAATTGGTTAGGGTTAGGGT